CAGAGGTGTGGCCGAGACCGCCCTGGTCACACTGGAGCTCAGAGGCTGCGCTGGGACCGGAACTGGGGAGCCAAACTGCCCCAGAGCTGTCGTGCAGACGTTTGAAACGTTTGGGCAGAGCAGAGAGGTCTGATCACCGAGCCGCCAAGCACAGACTTGCTCTCCCCAGAGGCTGCGGCGAGGACTTGTCCCTGAACACCAGCCCATCCTCTTAAACGTCTTCGAGGAAACAGTGCCATGTCCTGGTTTGCGTTTCGATGATGTCTTTTTTTTTTTCTTGAGACAGAGTCTCGCTTTGTTGCCCAGGCTAGAGTGAGTGCTGTGGCATCAGCCTAGCTCACAGCAACCTCAAACTCCTGGGCTCAAGCGATCCTCCTGCCTCAGCATCTGCGTAGCTGGGACTACAGGCATGCGCCACCGTGCCCGGCTAATTTTTTCTAAACATATTAGTTGGCCAATTAATTTATTTGTATTTATAGTAGAGATGGGGTCTCGCTCTTGCTCAGGCTGGTTTCGAACTCCTGACCTTGAGCAATCCGCCTGCCTCGGCCTCCCAGAGAGCTAGGATTACAGGCGTGAGCCACCTCGCCCGGCCTCGCTGATGTCCTTCTCAGGCAGTTCCCTGCATGCTGATGTCGGGGCAGGTGTTGAGGGGAAGCCAGCAACTCCACTTTTACCTAATAAAACCCACGTCATCTTCCGAACACCAAACCCAGGCAACAGTAACGACCACAGCAAAGGCCTGTGCAGCTGGGGAATGGCTTCTGTTCGGTTAAGCAAGAAACGGTTTCTCCAGCGTGTTCTGCCCTAGTCTCGGTCCCTGTCCTCCGCCCCTCCCACGGGGCCTCCGAGCTCCTCAGGAAGTTTCCAGCGGGGCCGAGAGCACTACGGGGCCGGGGCTTTCTCAGTGACGGGCGCTTGGGACACGAGAGCGTTCACAGCCCAGACGAGCAGAGAAACGTTTGTCGCCTGGCTACCAGCCCACACAGGAAGGGGAGGCCGGACTGGGCCTGCACAGACATGTGCAGTTTGTTGACTTCATTTCCTGGCTTGGCTTCGAGTAGCGATGCTTCCTGGGCTGGGCTACGGGCACCAGCCTTGGGGCGCCAAGCCCAGCTTACCTCTCTAGGAGCAGAGGGACCAGAGCCCTCTGCACTCGCTGCCCTCACACAGATGGACAGGCACTCACAGAGCGGCGTGCCCTCACCCAGACGGACAGCCCTCACAGAACGGCGTGCCCTCACACAGACAGACACCCCTCACAGAACGGCATGCCCTCACCCAGACGGACACCCCCTCACAGAACGGCGTGCCCTCACCCAGACGGACAGCCCTCACAGAACGGCGTGCCCTCACGCAGACGGACACCCCTCACAGAACGGCGTGCCCTCACCCAGACGGACACCCCCTCACAGAACGGCGTGCCCTCATGCAGACGGACCCCCCCTCACAGAATGGCGTGCCCTCACCCAGACGGACACCCCTCATAGAACGGCGTGCTCTCACACAGACGGACACCCCCTCACAGAACGGCGTGCCCTCACCCAGACAGACCCCCCTCACAGAACGGCGTGCCCTCACCCAGACGGACACCCCTCACAGAACGGCGTGCCCTCACGCAGACGGACCCCCCTCACAGAACGGCGTGCCCTCACCCAGACGGACACCCCTCACAGAACGGCATGCCCTCACCCAGACGGACACCCCCTCACAGAACGGCGTGCCCTCACCCAGACGGACACCCCCTCACAGAACGGCGTGCCCTCCACCGAGGCACCCTCACAGAACGGCGTGCCTCACGGCGACGGAACCCCTCACGAACGGGCGTGCCCTCACCCAGACGGACACCCCTCACAAGAACGGCGTGCCTCACGCAGACGGACAGGCGCTCACGGTTGTGCCTCCACCCAGACGGACAGGCACTCACGAAGGGCGTGCCTCACCGCAGGAGACACGGCATCACAGAGCGTGCCCTACGCAGAGCGGACCCCTCAATGGAACGCGCGTGCCTCACGCGCAGATGGACGCTTGCTCACAGATCGGCGTGCCCTCACGCAGACGGACACCCCTCACAGAACGGCGTGCTCTCACGCAGACGGACATGCGCTCACAGAACCGCGTGCACGGCTCGGGCAGGGCCAGCGGTCTGTCCTGGCCTTGGGGCTCGCGTGGCTGGCTCTCTCCGGCACTGGGTCAGTGTCCTGGCCAGGAGGCTGTACTGGATTGGCGGTGGTTGGACTTTTTCTCGTTTGTTTATGGAAACCCCCTTTCCAAGTGGTATCTTAAACGGGATCCTGGCGTATGGAAGAGCGGAGAGAGAAGAGTCACTGTGGCTGGAGCTGAGGGCAGGGCCCTCCTGCTCTCCTCTGGTGTCCCCCGGCATCTCCTGCAACCAACCCCCAGGCTTAGATGCAGGCTCTGCACGCCGGGGACCCCGCGTCATCTGGGGTGAGCTGGAGCTGGACGCCTCACGTCTCCTTCCTAGCTGTGGCTCCCTTGGGGGGGGGGGTCTCTGTGTCGCTGGTGCTTGTGATCTCAGCGCCTTGCTCCTCGTACATGTTAGTCATTAGCACCAAGAACTGGGGATCTGTAGTAATTTGTGACTTCTCGCCTTGTTTGCTTTTTTTATTTTTTTGAGACCTGGTCTCACTTTGTTGCCCAAGCTAGAGTGAGTGCCGTGGTGTCAGCCTAGCTCAGCAAACTCAAAATCCCGGGTTCAAGCAATCTCCTGCCTCAGCTCCCGAGTAGCTGGGCTACAGGCATGGGCACCATGCCCGGCTAGTTTTTTCTATATATATTTAGTTGGCCAATTAATTTCTTCTATTTATAGTAGAGACAGGGTCTCGCTCTTTCTTGCTCAGGCTGGTTTCGAACTCCTGATCTCGAGCAATCTGCCCGCCTCGGCCTCCCAGAGTGCTAGGATTACAGGCGTGAGCCACCGCGCCCGGCCTTTTTTTTTTTTCTTGAGACAGGGTCTCACTTTGTTGCCCTGCATAGAGTGCAGTGGCAGGATCACAGCTCACAGCAGCCTCCCAGTCCTGGGCTTGAGCAGTCCTCCTCCCTCAGCCTCCCACTTCTTGCCTCCTAACTCAAGCTCTTGTAATCCATTACCGAGCCCGATTCTTCTGTCCCCAGCACACCCCCTTTTCCTCGTCAGAACTCTGCTTGGAAGCCTGTGTCGGCTCCCGTGTCCAGAGCCGGATTCCCCTGACAGATACACAGGGGTCACTTGTTCACGTCATGCCCAGGATACAGTGTGTCCCTGCAGCCCCTCCACACACTGAGCAGGTCTCCTCAGTCACCTGCCTGCAAAGTGCAGGTCCCGTCCCGGACAGCCCCCCCAGGGCCCGGACAGCCCCCCAGGGCCCAGACAGCCCCCCCAGGGCCCTGACGGCCCCCCAGGGCCCGGACAGTCCCCCCCAGGGCCCGGACAGCACCCCAGGGCCCAGACAGCCCCCCTAGGGCCCGGACAGCACCCCAGGGCACAGACAGTCCCCCCAGGGCCCGGACAGACCCCCCTCAGGGCCCGGACAGACCCCCCCCCTCCAGGGCCCGGACAGATCCCCCCCCAGGGCCCGGACAGATCCCCCCCCAGGGCCCGGACAGTCGCCCCCAGGGCCCAGACAGCCCCCCCCAGGGCCCGAACAGCCCTCCCAAGGGCCTGGACAGCCCCCCCAGGGCCCAGACAGCCCCACCCAGGGCCTGGACAGTCCCCCCCAGGGCCCGGACAGACCCCAGGGCCTGTGCTGCCTAAGACCTCCCAGCTGCTCCCTCACCAGGGCTGGGCCTTTGCAGGGACCTGCCTGATGGCCCCATCCTGTGCTTGTCTGTTCAGAGACGGACTTTTTGTCGAATATCAGTGGTTACAGCTCGGTCCTGATTTTGTTTTCACAGAAAGATGGTGGTTGGTGTTCTTGATGTAAGGACACTGTCTTAAGAAGAGATATAGGTCAGATTATAGGCCCTCTTCTCCAATTGTGTCATTTGGAAGAATACAACGTATTTGTAGTTGGAAATGTTTTTGTCAAAACATTTTTTTAATAGTAACTTTTTATTATGGGATATTTTACACTTAGGCAGAGAGAGAATAAGGTAATATTGACTCTCTGTTTATTAGGCAGTCTCAACAATTGTCATTTCATGTCCTTTCTTGTCTCATTGATACTCCTACCCACTTAGTTTTGTTATTTTGAAGCAAATAACTGTTAATGGAAACAAATACTATTATTTTGTTAAGTAACAAAATGTTGTCATTTTGAAGTAATTTCTGGACATCATATCATCTCAAACTTAAATATTTCAGAAGTGCACATTTTAAAGATATTCTGAGATTTGATTGATTGTGCTTTAGTGTCAGTGTGTTTGCCTACGAATTTACTGAAATAACTATTCTGTGATATGCAAACTTAATGTTTTCCTTTGAGAAACATAGATCTCTTTAGGTGAAAATGGTTTCAGAACACCAAAGCTATCTGCAGATTATACTTTTACATAGTACACATTAAAAATATACCCCCCTCTCTCTATATATATAGTTTAGATTTATTTCCTTTCTTCCCTTTCTTGTCTTCTTTTCCTCCCCTGCCCTCCCCTCCCCTCCCCTTCCCTTCCCTCCTCTCCTCTGTCCTGACAGGGGCTTGCTCTGTTACCTGGGTTGATAGAGTACAGTGACTTCATTATAGCTCACTGCAATCTCAAACTCCTGGGTTAAGGTGATCCTGCCTCAGCCTCCTGAGTGGACTACAAGTGCACACCACCATGCCTGGCTAATTTTTCTAATTTTTGTAGAGTCTTGCTATGTTGCTCAGGCTGATCTTGAACTCCTGACTTCAAGTGATCCTCCCACCTCAGCCTCCCAGACTGCTAGGATTATAGGCCTGAGCCACCGCACCTGGCCTAGTTTAGATTTTTATGCAGTATATCAAGTCAGCATCTTATGTAGGTTGTCAAGGTTCATGTGGAAACTTTGAGTAACTGACATTTGTTTGCCTTTCTTTCAGATTTGGTTTACCCACACCCAAATGCTTCTGCAGAAAAAGCGAGAAATGTCCTGGCTGTGGAGACAGTGCCTGGAGAGCTGGTGGGAGAACAAGCTGCAAACCAGCCGGCCCCGGGGCATCCGAACTCCATTAACTTTTACTCTTTGAAACAGTGGGGCAATGAGCTCAAGTAAGTCTTTGGAAAGCAGCACATGAAATCAAAATTGGATTGTTTCTGATCATGTGTACTGTCATTTTATATGCGAAGTTATGAAACCACCTTAAGCTTGTGGAGGTCTTTGCTGTTCACAGCGTACTTTCCCGTAGATCACCAGCCTGTTCTGAGTCTGCACCGTGCCAAACGTTTTCGCACCGGTGGTTTCATTGCTTGACTCTAGGTAGGTCACAAGGTTGACATTTCACAGAGACTGAAACTGGCTGAAGGAGCATATGTGTGTGAGGTCACCAGGCTCCCAGGCTGCAGAGCTGTGGCACCCCCCTCCCCCCAGCCCCGGGCCTGGCCCTCCATCCAGGACACTCGGCCTGTGCACTAGATTCCGTGCTGGCTAATGAAAGTAGAGGTGGGTTTTTTGACAGTATGATTTTTTTTTTTTTTTTTTTTTTTTTTTTTTTTAAAATTTTTTTTTTTTTTTTTGGAGACAGGGTCTCTGTTACCCCAGCTAGAATGCCATGGTGTCAGCCTCACTCACTGCAACCTCAAACTCCTGGGCTCAAGCAATCCTCTTGCCTCTCAGCCTCCCGAGTAGCTGGCACTAAAGGCATGTGCCACCATGCCCAGCTAATTTCCCTATGTTTTGTAGAGACGGGGTCTTGCTTTTGCTCAGGCTGGTCTCGAACTCATGGCCTCAAGCAGTCCTCCTGCCTTGGCCTCCCAGAGTGCTGGGATTACAGGCATGAGCCACCGCGCCTGGCCCACAATTGTATTTTTTAATGCACTCACAATGCCACCAAAATTAGAGTGTAGTCAAGGCTTAAAGGGTAATTCATGCCCGTTCTTTCATTCTGTCTAACAATGTGGTTGGACCTCTCTCTCGACCAGCCCCCCACAAACCGATGTGTCAGGTTCCCGGTGGTGCCCTGGACCCCCAACTGCGCGAGGGTGGCGGGCTCTGCTCCCAGCTGAGAGCAGACCTGCCTCGGCAGCTGGGTTTGTCCCGGCCGCGTAGCGCCTGTCGTGCCTGTTACCGTGATTATGCAGTTCAGTGAGATGCTTGGTAGACCCATACAGTATGACACGGAATTGTTTCTGTGAGAAATAAGTTGAACACTTAGGGAAAATTTGCTAAAGGTGAGGCACTAAAAAAAGTACTGGGAGGATGTGGGTGACACAGTTGTAAAAAATCAGAGGAAAAAAAAATTCTTAAAAGCCTGTAAGATTCTGTGCTTAGAATTTGTTTCACAATTGTAAGTCATTGTTCCACTTTTTAAAAAGAAGGAAAACAAAATTGGAAAATTTAGGTGACAAGTTATGGGTGTGATTTGCCCAGGAAAGAGAACAGGGAACTGTGTGGAGTGACCCCAGACTCAGAGAAGGGGCCGTGGCCGGCCTGCGTCCGTGGACTGGCCACACAGCACACCTTGACCTATGCCTTTACAGGTGTGTGGGTCTCAGTTCCTCTTGCGTGGTTTCCTGCTTTAAATGACCTTTTCATTTAACCTTTTTTTTTTTTTTTAGACAGGAGTCTCGCTTTCTTGCCTAGGCTAGAGTGGTGCCGTGGCGTCAGCCTAGCTCACGCAACCTCAAACTTCTGGGCTCAAGCGATCCTCCTGCCTCAGCATCCGCGTAGCTGGGACTACAGGCATGCGCCACCATGCCCGGCTGATTTTTTATTATATATATTAGTTGGCAATTATTTCTTTATTTTTATGGTAGAGAGGGGGTCTCGCTCAGGCTGGTTTTGAACTCCTGACCTCCAGCAATCCGCCCGCCTCGGCCTCCCAGAGTGCTAGGATTACAGGCGTGAGCCACCGCGCCCGGCCTCATTTAACCTTTTAACAGTCCGGATCACTCCAGGTGAAAGAGCTGGAGCTCTCATGAATTCTGGCCCACGCATGGATGTGTGCGTGTGAGTGTGCGCGCCCAGGGTGGCGTGTGCGGCGAGGGTGAGAACGCACATGCCTGCGGGGGCGGCAGTGCAGCGTGTGGTCGTGCGCAGGAGGTGCTTAGCCAGGCGGGCTGACAGCAGTGGGCGGGGCCGACGGCAGTGGGCGGGGCCCTGTGGCTCTCTGGGCCTGGCCCACGCGTCGGTCTCCGGGTGCTGGGCTGCGCCTGCGCGGCGCTCCGTCGTGTGGTGGCGAGGGCTCGTCGCAGTCGGCCTGGGTGGTGGGGTCCCAGCCCTGCGGCCCAGTGAGCTGTGCCATGCTGAGCCGGTGACTTGGCTTTTCCGAGCCGTGTCTTCTCCGGCAGTGAATCGGGGTGTGTGGCCCACTAGCGGGTGTGAGAGCTGAGGTTGTGCCTAGACAGAGCCGCCCGCACGCGGCCACCGTGCGTGCTCCGTGGACGTGGCCGCGTGGCCCCGTCCCGCGGGCGGTGCCGCCCTCGTCCGTCTGGGCCCCGGGCCAGTGGCGGCGCGGTCCTCTCCTTCCGTCGGGGGAGACGGCGCCTTTCCCGGGGGTGCGAAGGCCCAGCCGGCCAGGACGTGTGTGCTCGGCCGCCGGGCCCCCACCCCGCGGGGCCGCCGGGCCGCTCTGGCCGCCGTGTTCGCTTCTCTCAGGACCCGGGCCGGCAGGAAGTGGCCTGCGTGCGCGGCTGGCGTTCCCGGAGTCCCTTGCGGCGGTGCCGGCGGGGAGCCTCCCTGGCGCCTCACCTCTCCGGCCGCCCGGAGCAGGGCCGGCCGGCCACAGCCGGGAACGACAGGTGTGGTGATCTGGGGAAGGCGCTGGTGTCCCACGGCCGCCACGGGGTGCTGTTCGTGATTTTCCTCGTCGCAAGGTACGGCTCCGTCCTTGCCGAGAAAGACGAGGGCCGTGGTCCCGTGCTGCGGCCGCGCGGGCACTCCGAGAGCGGCCTTCTGCGGGGCACGCAGGGAGGAGGCGCTTGCCCGGGCCTGTGGCGGGCGGTGACCGCAGGGCGCCCGTGTGTCGCGTGGCTGCGCGCGCCCCTTCTCTGGCGGCTCCGGCCCGGGCCTGTGGCGGGCGGTGACCGCAGGGCGCCCGTGGTGGTGCGTCGGCTGCGCGGCTCCTTCTCTGGCGCTCCGGCCGGCCTGTGGCGGGCGGTGACCGCAGGGCGCCCGCTGTGTCGCGTGGCTGCGCGCGCCTCTTCCTCCTGGCGGCTCCGGCCCGGGCCTTGGCGGGCGGTGACCGCAGGGGCCCCGTGTGTCGCGTGGCTGGCGCGCCTCTTTCTTGGGGCTCCGGCGGCCTGTGGGGGGTGACCGCAGGGCGCCCGTGTGTCGCGTGGCTGCGCGCGCCCCTTCTCTGGCAGCTCCGGGCCGGGCTGTGTGCGGGCGGTGGGGGAAGCCCGTGTGTCGCGCTGCTGCGCCGCGCCCTCTTCTCTGGCGCTCCGGGCCCGGGCTGTGGCGGGCGGTGACCGCAGGGGCCCGTCGTGTCGCGTGGCTGCGCGCGCCCTCTTCTCTGGCGGCTCCGGCCCCGGGCCTGTGGCGGGCGGCTTGCCCAGCTGCTCATGGCCGTGATCTTGCCGCGCACCTGCAGGCCCACGCCACACGGCCCTGCGCGGGTGCCTCGAGCTGTCTGCGCTGCCTTGGTTCCGCCACGGAGCTCATATTCGAAAATAACACGGATTTAGGCCGGGGCGTCGGCTCACGCCTGTCATCCCAGCACTCCGGGAGGCCAAGGTGGGAGGATCATTTGAGCTCAGGAGTTCGAGACCAGCCTGAGCGAGAGCGAGGCCCCATCTCTACTAAAAATAGAAAGAAATGAATTGGCCAACTAAAAATATATATAGAAAAAATCAGCCGGGCATGGTGGCGCATGCCTGTAGTCCCAGCTACTCGGGAGGCTGAGGCAGGAGGATCGCTTGAGCCCAGGAGTTTGAGGTTGCTGTGAGCTAGGCTGACGCCACGCCACGGCTCTCTAGCCCCGGGAACAAAGTGAGACTCTGTCTCAAAAAAACAAAAGTGAAATGTCAGAGATACCAGCTGTCAAACTCAGTGCTTAAGGAAATCAGACATTCCGTACTTAATAACCTAATATTTGGCCTTCCGGGAAGGGTGTTACCTTCCAATGCGGTATTGTCCTCGTTTCTGACTGGGCACTCACAGTGGATGATACACACGCTTCATGTATGACTGTGTACTGTTGTATGTGCGTGAAACTGAAAGAACGATTTCGCTGCTACATGTGGTAGAGCTAAGTACTATTTTCTCTCCCAGTCTGTTGAGGATGCTTGTCACCACCCTCAGCATTGATCTCATGACTCCTTAGTTTGCTGTCATGGCCTCTGGTGGCCACGCCCATAGCGGGAGAAGCCCGTTCCAAAGGACAGCCCAGCTGGTGGCCTGGCGCACCTGTCATCGTGCCTGTCTGTCCCCTCCCCTCGGGGCGGGCCGAGCGCGTGCTGAGGGTGAGGGTCGGTCTGTCCCCGCCCAGGGTGGTCATGGTCCTCAGGACACCGGCCGGCATGGGGTCCCCTGCCACATGTGCTGCGGGTGCAGTTCAGGGTGACCCCAACGTGTCACCCCTCCCCTGTGCTCCAGTGCCTTGGGGGTGCGGGTTGAGGGAGAGGCCGGTGACAAAGGTCGTGCTGTGAAAACGAGCTTTGACGTAGGGCTCGAGGGCTGGGCAGGGACCTGCCTAAGGGAAAGGCGAGTGCAAGGGCTCGGAGCAAAGGTCAGGAAGGCCGAGCAGGGCGTGTTGCGTGTGCAGGGTGCTGAGTGGGCTGACGGCAGAGGAGGAGCTGAGGAGGCCAGGGAGCCCCGGTGGGTGGTGGGGCACTGTCTGGAGGTTCTGCAGGAGGAGTTCCTGCTTAGGTGTCTGGGTTTTTTGAGGCAGTGCACGTTTTATTAGATGTTTGCTCTGATGTCTTCAGAGTCAGAAGGATAACGTACCATGCCTGTGTGTGTTTGACGTGCAGAGTATTTTGGAGGGAGGGTCTTTGTGACGACACTACTTTTCCGGATCCTCAGAAGCGAAAGCCGTCACATCAGAAGTAACGTATCCCAGCTTTAGACACTGATGTTCCAGTCGTGAGCACCTGCCGGAGTTGGGACTGTGAGCAAGAGCGGCCTCCGGCTCCCTGGTTGAAGGGTGGTGGCTTGTTGGAGAGCGAGTGTGTTGGTTCGCCCCGGCTGCCGCACCACCTCACTGCAACCTCGGTGGCTTAAAGCAGCGTTTACTTTCTTATAGTTCAGGAGGCCAGAAGTTCGAGATCGGTTTCCCTGGGCCTGAGTTAGGGTGTCGGCAGGACTGGCTCATCCGGAGGCTCCAGGGGATGGTTCATTCCTGCCTCCCCGAGGCTGGTGGCCGCTCGTCCCTGCTTTCCCCTGGCTGGTGGCCACGCACGTTCCGTGGCCTGTGGCTGCTCATCCCTGCCTCTCTCCCGCGGCTGGTGGCTGCGCACGTTCCGTGGCCTGTGGCCACTCATCCCTGCTTTCCCCCGGCTGGTGGCCGCACACATTCCATGGCCTGTGGCCGCTCGTCCCTGCTTCCCTGGGGGCTTTGTCCTCTCCTCTGCTGTGTCACGTCTTCCGTGTGTCTCTCGTGACTGCGCTCGGGCCGCTCGGACGATGCAGGTGACCTCCCATCTCAGGGCCCGCCACCCAGTCTCACCTGCAGGGCCCCTCTCGCCACGTGAGGTGACGGTCACGGGTCCAGTGATTTGAGCACAGATGTCCGGGGTGGGCATTATTCCGCCTACCTCGGGGGTCCTCCCTCCCTGCCTGCCTGCCTGCCTTCCTGCTCCCTTCGCCATTTCTTCGCTCTCCTGACGGAGCGTTGGGAGCGGTGAGGGTGTGGATGGGCACAGGGGAGGCCCCGCCTGCGTCTGCCGAGAATGCCGCCCCTTCCCGGTTAGATGCTCGGAGTTGGCCCCCCAGGGCTGGGGGACCAAGGAGGTGTCTCGGCTCGCCTTACATGGCTGCAACAGAGCACAGGCTGGGCGGTTCACAAAGAAAGGAACCGTGCCGGCGTGCGTGGGGGTCTGGAGTCGGGGAGCCTGGCGTCCGCGTGGAGGCGTCTGGCGAGGACCTTTGCGCAGCACTGCCCACGGCGGAGGCAGAGGGGCGAGGGCAGGGGGGCGAGCCTGCCCACTGTGGACCCACTGCCAGGGTGAGATTAATCCTCCTGGGAGGCAGAGCCCTCGTGACCTGGTCACCTCTCAGTGCCCCCTCTGGATGCCCTCACGGCAGCAGTTAAATTTCAGCGTGAGTTTTGGAGGGACGTGCAAGCCGTAGCAAGCAGCCTCTGGCCTGGGCCCCGCCAACCAGCAGCTTCCCTGTTTGGCCGGCTCTCCTAGCTGTGTGTTTGTAGCACACAGGTTAACTGTGAACGGCGTGCATGCTTGTAGAAAGAAAAAAACCAGTGCTGAAGGGGGGCGCATGGTTAAAGGTGACAGTTCTCCTGAGTGCGGTTTCCAGAGTGACTGACAGAACTGAAGCCGCTCAGGCGCACGCCCTGACGGCAGCCCCGGGGCAGCCCGCTTCCCTCTCGCCCGCAAGGTCCCAGCACGCGGAAACGCTGCCTCAGTGGTGTCGTCCTGCCGCTGAGAGCCCCGTGGCGTTGCCTGAACCTGGCGTGCAGGAGTGCGGGGAGACGTGAGTCGGGGGAGACCTGACGGAACGTTTCCCAGCAGTCCTCCCGACTGGTAAATTCTAGCTGCTTATCAGATTCAAACGAATGCTGGATAAATTATTCCTGTTTCAGTTAGATACTTTAGATTGTGTAAATTCCATCTGGAGTGTGTAACTTGGAAAGAGAGAAAAAAGTATGTAAACTTTTCTTTCTCTCTTTTTTTTTTTTTGAGACAGAGTCTCACTCTGTTGCCTAGGCTAGAGTGAGTGCCGTGGCGTCAGCCTCGCTCACAGCAACCTCAGACTCCTGGGCTCAAGCAATCCTCCTGCCTCAGCCTCCCGAGTAGCTGGGACTATAGGCATGCGCCACCATGCCCGGCTAATTTTTTCTATGTATATTTAGTTGTCCGACTAATTTCTTTCTATTTTTAGTAGAGACAGGGTCTCGCTCTTGCTCAGGCTGGTCTCCAACTCCTGCCCTCCAGCGATCCTCCCGCCTCGGCCTCCCAGAGTGCTGGTATTACAGGCATGAGCCACCGTGCCCGGCCGAGGTTTTCTTAATGATGAAGATGGCTGGTGTTCACTTAAAAAGAGCTTGGGCTGAACGCTGCGGCTGCCACGGTGGCGTCTCGCCATGTGGCGGCTCCTGACTCTCCGTGCGGGTCGGAGCAGCGAGTGGTGGTTGAATTATACAGAGACCCCCAGCGGGGGCGGGAGAGCCGGGGCTCAGAGACTGTCAGGCGGGAGAGGGGTCTCTGTGCAGCAGGCGTGTCAAAGAGCAGCTCCTCACAGCCGCCGAGACCTGAGCAGCTGTTGCTTCCCGAGCAGCTGTTTAGAAACCTTACAACTTTTGTAAAGTCGGGCTTTGCTCTGTATCTTGCCGGCCGGGTTGCCGTGGGTACTGAGGAGATTCCCCGTGTGCGGTTGTCCGCGGAGACATGCAGAGCACTGGGCACTGGAGGAGACTTGGGAATTGAGTGGCTCTACACTGTTTGCTCGCCTGCTCTCTGCGTCCTGAGTAAATAAACTACCGTGTTTCCCCGAAAACAAGACAGGGTCTTATGTTTATTTTTCCTCGAGAAGACACCCTAGGGCTTATTTTCAGGGAATGTTTTTTTTTTTTTTTTTTTTTTTAAACACGGTGCAACCATCTACATTTATTCAAATACAGTGAAGTCGTCGTCTTCTGGAGCATCATCCTCACTCTCCAGACCCTGAATCCCATCCTGAATGTCTTGCGACTCTGTTTCCTTTAGAACCACTGGCCCCGATCTCTCCTGTGGAGCCACAGAGCTCTCACGGGCGGATGGGAAGGGCTGCTCGTCTTCTTTCCCGCTCCCGACGACAGGCATGGGTTGTGCAGGCACGGGTTGTGCAGACGCGCTGCACAGCCACGCCCCCGTCACCAGGGCTGATTTTCAGGGTGGGGCTTCTATTGCACACAAGCTTAGAAACCCTGCTGGGGCTTATTTTATGGGGAGGGCTTATTTTCAGGGAAACATGGTACGAGGAAACACACGCCAGGTCCTAACAGGTGTGATTCCATGTTCCTGGTGACTCCTCGCTAAGGCATTTAGCAAAAGGCCACGCACTCGCGTGTTGTGATCCTGTGATGGGAACGTAAGCGTGTTGATAGTCTCTCTGCACGCCTCTGAATATTTTAAGTACTTTAAGAAATTCAAATAAAAAGGCAAAAAGGTAACGCATTTTTTAATCCTTAAGAAATGACTCTTCCATAGGAGAGTATCACCTGTCCGATTCAAACTAGAAAAGAAACCACCTTCTCACCTCACTGTTAATCCACCTGAGGAAACACCGAATGGTTCGGTGCCTTCCTCTTCCGTGTGTTTGTCTGTTTAATGAGCTCACTGGGGTGTAGTTTACCTGGAGTAAGGGCACTTATTTTAGGTGAACAGGCTGATGGGTCTTAGAAGTTACACACAGTGACGTAGCGACTCCATCCCCAAAATACAAACGTTCTTGTCTCCCTGAAATCCCTCACGGCCCCAGCCGTGGACCCTCCGGCCCGGCCTGCACAAGCTCCAGTCTGCTGCTGTCGCTACGGCTCTGCCTTCTTGAGAATTCCATCACGTAAGCCAGCAGGGTCGTGTGTGCCTGTAGTCCCAGCTGGTGGGAGGCTGAGAGGGGAGGATCACTTACGACCAGGAGCAGTTTGAGACCAGCATGGGCAACACAGCAAGACCCCATCCCCCCCAAAAAAGGGAATTTCATGTAGACGGATCCATGCTGTATGTAGTCCTCTGTATCGTCTTTAACGCAATCTTTTGGAGACGTGTCTGTATCGTTGAGAGTTTTCATATTTCATTCCTTTTATTGCTGAGGCAGCGTTCAATAAGTATGGGTATATTGAGCAGGTAACGTTCGCGTATACATGTGTGTCTATAAGGGAGGCGATTTATGTGAGCTTGCTCTGCGGTACTGCATTCACCAACTGCCCAAACGGTTCTTAGTTCCGTGTAGCTCTGGCTCGGGTGATGGAAAGGCAATATATGTAACCAAAATGTTTGTGCCCCCTGATATTCTGAAATTTTTTAAAAAGTTGAATAATTTGAGATGTCTCTTCATAATAAACACACATGTCTTACCTTTTGACAGCTTAGCAGTAAAAATTTGACTATACCTTTCTTTTTCAACTTAGGTTTATACTTAAAGTTTTTAGAAATTATTTCTTTTTAACAATTTGATTATGATGTGCCTTGATACAATTTTCTTCATGGTTCTTGTGCTTTAAGTTCATTAAGCTTCTCTGACCTGTGGGTTCATAGTTTTTGTCAAATTTGGAAATTTGGGATCATTATTCCCTCACGTGCTTTTATTCCCTCTCCTTCTTTGGAGGCCTCCAGCTGCCTGTGTGTCAGGTCACTTGACGCTGTCTCTCGGCTCCCTGATCCATCTTCCTTCCTGCCTTTGTTTCTTTCGTCTTTTTCTGTTTCATTTTAGGTAGTTTCTGTTGCAGTATGATCAAGTTCACTGATTTTTAGTTCACATTTTTGCTTTCTTTTTTTAATAACACATAACGTGTTTTTTCTCCCCCAATAGAAATTCGATGTCTTCCTTACGTCCTGGGAGAGGGCACAGCGACAGTCGGAGGACCGTGTTCTACACCAGCGAGGAGTGGGAGCTTCTGGATCCGACCCCGAAGGACCTGGAGGAGTCCACGGTGCAGGAAGAAAGGAAGAAGCCAGCCCCGGAAGCGAGCAGAGGTACAAACGTGGTCCCCTTATCTGACGTCCTCTTTACCTCCGGTGCAGTGGGAGACACTGTGTCAGGTATTTCTAGAAGCATGAGGTCCGGTGGGGGCTTGTCTTCTCTTTATGGGACACGAAATATACAGGCTTGAAAAAGTAAATGTTACAAGAAATAAATGACTGTCCGGTTCAATGGCTCTTAAGCTTTTTGAAGATGGAATACCTAGAAGTCATAGTGTTCTTTGTGGAACTATTGATTTAACAAAAGTTTTCACTTATGGATATTTGAAATGTACAAAAGAAGAGAATATAGGATCATAAATTCTGGTGCCCCTGTCTTCCTGCTTCTGCACACGTGAACTTACGGCCTCTGTTTTCCCACTCTATCTCCTCTAATCTCCTACCCTCCCCACAACTGTCGTCAGCCGGACTGTTTTAAAGTAAGTTCTAGACCTTAGTCCCTTGTGTCTGTAAATGCTTTAATATGTATTTCTAAGAGATAATGACTTTTTTAAAAAGCATAACTTCATTATTACACCTGAAAAGTTATGATAAGTTCTTAAGATTTAATAACTTAATTGTTTCACAGATGTCTGTTTATGGTCAGTTTGTTCAAACGAGGACCCAGACAAGCTCACAGGTTGTATTAATCGGTGTGTCGTCTTAGGTCTGTAGTCCAAACTGCTCCCCGTCTTTTTCCTTCCTTTTCCCACATTTGTGAAGAATCCAGCACTTCCTGCTGGGGATTCCCCACATCTGGACTTTGCTGGTTGTGTTTCTGTGGGTGGCGTCACAGGTTCCTCCACCCCTGCACTTCCTGTGTGCTGGGGCTAGAGCGGGGCCGGCCCTCAGTGTTGGCGAGAAGACCTTTTCGGGGGTGCTGTGCACGCCTGCTGCTTTGCGCCCAGAACCACGCCACGTTAGGTTTTCTCTCCCAGGACTTTAAGATTGACAGGGTTCAGGGGCTGTCGGCCTGATCCTGTCATAAAATTCTCGATCAGCCTTTTGCCTAATGCTTTTTTTTTTTTGGAGACAGGCTAGAGTGCTGTGGCATCAGCCCAGCTCACAGCAGCCTCAGACTCCTGGACTCAAGCAATCCTTCTGCCTCAGCCTCCCGAGTAGCTGGGACTACAGGCACGTGCCACCATGCCCGGCTAGTTTTTTTTTCAGAAGTAGGAAGCGAAGGATCTCTAACATGTCGTAGTTTTTCCTTTAAAGTGATTACGAGATAGAAGCTTGTGAGGAAAGATCCAGTGGGGGAATCGTGTTTGGTTTTGAGTGTGTCGGTTGATATCTGGAATGGGGTCTCCCGGCATTCTCGGTGAATGCAAAACTCCTTGGAGGATGGCTTGTGCGGATGCTGTATTTTACCGTAGTTTCCGAGAGGAAGATTTGGCCTGCACTTAATAAACAAGTTTGTTTTTACGTAGGAGTGACTGGCTCGGGATTCCCCTTTGATTTTGGACGCAACCCCTACAAAGGAAAGCGCCCTTTGAAAGACATCATCGTGTCCTACAAAAACCGTCACAGCAGCGGCGACCCATCGAGCGAGGGGACGGCGGGCGGCAGCGGTGGTGGTGGCGGCGGTGGCACCGGCAGTGGTGGCAGCAACGGTGGCAAGCTGGCCTCCGAGACGCAGCTGCAGGCGCAGAGCCAGCAGGAGGAGCTGGAGCAGCTGAGGAAAGACCTGGCCAGCCAGAAGGTGACTCTCCTTGCGACTCCCCTCCCCCGCCAGCAGGCCGACGGGGGCGGCGCCTGGCGTGTGCTTCCCTGCGTCTTCGTCTTCCTGGACGGTTTTGTTTCCTGGGCCCTGCTGCTGTGCGCGGCCGTTTGTCCGGCTGTGTGGATCTGCGGGGAGAGTGAAGGTCTCTTCGGGGAGGTCGAGGAGGCCGCTGTCTGCACCCACGCCCGGCCCTGCCCCGAGACCCGATCTCTGTAAACACAGCTTCGCCCGGAGTTCTTTACCGGTGTTACGAGCTCCCACATCCTGTTAGCACACTTTCCTTCTGAGCTAATTGAGACCTGATTACACTTAATTGCTCAGAAGTTCAGTGAATCCTACAGCACAGTTTTTTTATTCTTTTTTTTTTTTGAGGCAGAGTCTCACTCTGTTGCCCAGGCTACAGTGAGTGCCGTGGCGTCAGCCTCGCTCACAGCAACCTCCAACTCCTGGGCTTAAGCCATCCTCCTGCCTCAGCCTCCCGAGTAGCTGGGACTACAGGCATGCGCCACCATGCCCGGCTAATTTTTTCTATATATTTTTAGTTGTTCGGCTAATTTCTTTCTATTTTTAATAGAGACGGGGTCTCGCTCTTGCTCAAGCTGGTTTCAAACTCCTGACCTTGAGCGATCCTCCTGCCTCCGCCTCCCAGAGTGCTGGGATTACAGGCGTGAGCCACCGCGCCTGGCCCAGATTCTTTAATACCTATGGACGGTTACTTGTAACCATTGCCGGTTGCAGCGTGTGTGTCCGTTATTTCCTGTTTCCTATTATTGTTCTCTGCAGGCAGTCTTTATGGAGTAAATATTTTTCCCTCTCTATTTTTGAGATCCTACAAGAGGAAGTTCGGTGTTGAAGTGTTTCCAGTAAAGTGTCTGCATTTCCCCCAATCCCGACGATTGCCCCACGCGGTGCGGTGGTGATCTCTGCCTCTCCTCTTCCTCACCCTTCCTCTCCCCCTCGGCCCAGGAGTTGGTGCGGCTGCTGCAGCAGACGGTCCGCTCGTCCCAGTACGACAAGTACTTCGCGGGCAGCCGGCTGTGCGAAGGGCCCCCCGCGAACGCGCTGGAGCTGCTGCAGCAGAAGGACGGGCAGATCCTGGGCCTCGCGGGCCAGCTGGAGCGGCTGGGGCTGGAGAAGGAGGGCCTGCAGCAGGAGGTGCGGGCGCTCAAGCACAGCGTGGGCGAGCTCAACGAGCGGCTGGGCATGCTCATGGAGACCATCCGCGCCAAGGACGAGGTCATCATCAAGCTCAGCGAGGGCGACGGCGGCCTGTCGCCTCCCGCCGTGCCCGGCTCCCCCTCGGCTGCCCCAGCCAGCAGGGACCAGCTGGAGCTGGACAGGCTGAAAGTAAGCGCGGTCGGGCCCCAAACCATTAGCCCGTTGATGTCGCCAGAGGGGCCGGGGCTCCCTGCCCGGTGGCTGTGGCGGCAGAGCGCACTCGCAGCTGGGCAGTTGTCGGTCTCCAGAGGAGCCTCCGTGGAGGATGGAGCTCTCGGTCCAACCATGCTGCCCTTGCTGAGGGCACCTCCCAGTTTCCCTTCCCCGCTTTCTGTCTGTGCCGCCCGAGGACCTCCCTGCCCAGCGTGGTGCACAGAGGCCGTTTCTTCCTTTTTTCTCCTTTGTTGAGACAGAGTCTTGCTCTGTTGCCCGAGCTAGAGTGCCGTGGCATCAGCCTAGCTCACCTCAAACTCCTGGGCTCAAGGGATCCTGCTGCCTCAGCCTCCCGAGTAGCTGGGACTACAGGTGTGCACCACCATGCCTGGCTGATTTTTTCTATATATGTTTACTTGGCCAATTAATTTATTTCTATTTATAGTAGAGACGGGATCTCACTCTTGCTCAAGCTGGCTTTGAACTCCTGAGCTTGAGTGATCTGCCCGCCTTGGCCTCCCAGAGTGCTGGGATTACAGGCGTGAGCCACCGCGCCTGGCCCCTCGCTTTCTCTTTGTACCACCTGGAGGACCTCACTGCCCAGCGTGGTGTGCAGAGGCTGTTTCTTACACTCTGTGCACACAGATGTTTCACACGTGTTTGCACGCACATGATGCACACACAGACATGCCTTACACAGCCAGCTGCAGGGCCCTGATGGGACCGGGTGGGAGCGTTGTTCCCAGCAGGTAGTGTAAGATCAGCCGGGGACGTGGCCCCAGCTTCCAGGCAGGCCTGGGAGAGGGCCCTGACACCTGGAAAGTAGAAGTGTCCCTCTCTGCGCCAGCCCTGAGGTGGGAGGCTGGTTCCTGGACAGAAGCAACTCTCCCAGTCCTGCCTGGGGTGGTGACCAGCTCCTGAGGTCGAAGAAACATGGCGTTTGTGGCAGGCAGGGCCGTCTGACTCTCTTAGCTGCTAGAGAGGCCTGAAGGGCCTACCTGGCCACTCTCAGTCAGGGCCCCGGTAGGAAAGGGCCATGAGAGGGGCCTAACCTGGCCACTCTAGGTCAGGCTGTTTAGAGAAGCCTGAGGCGGCTAACCGGCCACTCTCAGTCAGGCTGTAGGGAAGCCTGAGGGGCCTACCTGGCCACTCTCAGTCAGGGCTGTAGGAAGCCTGAGGGGGCCGTACCTCGGCCACTCTCAGCATCGCTATAAGGGAAGCATGAGGGGCCGTACCTGGCCATCTCAGGCTGTAGCAGAGCCTGAGGGGCCTACCTGCGCACCTCCCAGTCAGGCCGTAGGGAAGCATGAGGGCCACCTGGGCCATCTCAGTCAGACTAGGAGAGCATGAGGGGCCTACCGCCACTCCAGTCAGGCTGTAGGAGAGCGATGGCTACCTGGCCACTCTCAGGCTGTAGGGAAGCATGAGGGGGCCTACCTGGCCACTCTCAGGCCGTAGGGAAGCCTGAGGGGCCTACCTGGCCACTCTCAGACTGTAGGGAAGCCTGAGGGGCCTACCTGGCCACTCTCAGTCAGGCCGTAGGGAAGCATGAGGGGCCTACCTGGCCACTCTCAGTCAGACTGTAGGGAAGCATGAGGGGGCCTACCTGGCCACTCTCAGTCAGGCCGTAGGGAAGCCTGAGGGGCCTACCTGGCCGCTCTCAGTAAGGCCATAGAGAAGACCAGAAAATTGCTGCTGCCGCCAGTTCTTAAGACTCTGTCGCAGACTTTCAGTGGGCAAGGGACCCTTGGAGATGGGTGATGGGTCTGGCCCATTTGGTGCTAGCAGACCCTAAGCAGGTCTGTGGCAGCTGGGCCCACCTGGCCCCAGAGTGTTCCTCACCTGGCCACCCTCTTCTTGCAAGTACTTTAGCTCCCAGGGTGTTGACCCTGATGGTGTTTATCCTTGAACGGGGAAGGTTTGCCACCTCGGAGGTGGTCACTGAGCATCAGTTTGAGGTTGCCGTGAGCTAGGCTGACGCCACAGCACTCACTCTAGCCTGGGCAACAAAGTGAGACTCTGTCTCAAAAAAAAGCCTGTGGCTCCCAAATTTCATAGCAGTGAGGTTAAGTGGCGACAGTTGGTGAGGAGGCAGCGAGGTGGCTAGGTGGATCCCAGGTGGGACAGGTGAGTCCCACCTGGGTCCGTGACCTCAGACTTTGTGACGTCAGGGCTGGGGTCCCCACTGTGATGCAGAGGAGGCTCACACCAGTGCCGGTCTGCCCTGCAGTGGCGCTAGAAGGACTGGAGAGGTTTGAGCGAGGGAGGGAGGGAGAGCCCGGCCGAGTGGGTGTTCGGTGGGTTTTCTCGAGGTCCTTCAGCTCCAGGCAGGCATGGCCGAAGAAGAAATGCTGATTCTTTCTTTTGACCCCAAATTTAAAATGTCTAGTTGAAAAGACTGATTGATTGAGTTAGGGTCTCACTCCGTAACCTAGGCTAGAATGCAAGTGGCGTGATCCTAGCTCACTGTAGCCTCAAACTCTTGGGCTCAAGTGATCCTCCTGCCTCAGCCTCCCGAAGTGCTGGGATTACAGGCGTGAGCCACCGCACCCAGATAATTTTTCAGTTTTTTGTAGAGATGGGGTCTCCGTATGTTCCCAGGCTGGTCTCAAACTCCTGGCCTCAAGGGATCCTCCCACCTGAGCCTCCCAGAGTGGTGGGATCACAGGTGCGAGCCCCTGTATCTGGCCTGTATTTGTGTATATAAATACAATTTATAAATAAATAAATATTGGTCCTAGGATTTCACCACACTAGTGATTTAAGCACTTTATTTTTTCCATGTTTTCTTCCAGTATTTGTCCTTTCCTTCTTCCTTGTTGCTCTCGCAAGTGATTTCAGAATTGTGCGTCCTCTGTGTGGTCTTTCACTTCGTCTCTGTTTTCCTTCTGTGTTGCTACTTGATGGTATCTACCATGGGGATGGTCTAAAGAAGTTTCCCAAGCTTTATTTTCCTGGCATCGTGCATGAATCCCCCTCTCTTGTCTGTGTTTTGGTCTTGTGCTCTTGGCTCCTGTCCCCTTTCTCGCCGACACTAACTTAGGACGTCTGCCTGGGCCAGACCCCGCTCCAGGCTGGACTTGGCGAAACCGGTCCCTGGCTTGTGTTCGCTTACAGACATAGAGCACACGTGGCAACAGCTAATTGTCGAATTCAAGTGAAAGCTGTAATATATTCTGTTCATTGTACCTTTCAGCTTCTTCCTAAGTTTGAAATTTTTCGACGTAAAAGAGTTGAGGAACGTATTCTCTTAAGTGCCTTATGCATTGTAGGTTGTAGGTATTTCTTATTAAGTGTGATCGTTAGTTAAGGGCTTTTGTGTATGTATGTAGCCTTTTTTACATAAACTGAGAACTGAGAACTTACAGAAAATATATTCAGTTTCTCTGGTTAAAAAAAAAAAAAAGTGCCAGGCACAGTGGCTTGTGCCTGTGATTCCAGCACTTTGGGAGGCCGAGGCGGAAAGACAGCTTAAGCCCACGAGTTCAAGACCAGCCTGAGCAACATAGGGAGACTCTGTGTCTACAAAAAACAAAAACATTAACCAAGTGAGCGCCTATAGTCCCAGCTACTCGGGAGGCTGAGGCAGGAGGATCGCTTGAGCCCAGGAGTTCAAGGCTGCAGTGAGCTATGATGACACCACTGCACTTCAGTCCAGGCAGTAGAGTGAGACCTTGTCTCTAAAACAAAAAGAAAAAAAGAACGTAAGGTATTTTTTGTGTGTGTGCCATCTCAGTGAATTTTGGATAAAATATTTGCATGGACTTAGGAAATAAGGACTATTTGTTTCTCCTGTCATCAGTTGAGAAACATCACCACCATTAAATACACATCCTCTCTATCTCATTCATCACAGCAATTTTGCCTTCCTGACTTCTGCCACGGGTGGCCACAAAGATTAATCAGACAGTTACAACTCCCGTTCCTTAGGGTTGCTCTAACTTAGCAGGGCTGTTTGGTGGTTGGGCAGCCAGATGCTAATTACATAGGATAATCAGTCGATGTTCAACCAGTTTAATTGATGGATTTTTTCCCCCCGGCAGGATAATCTACAGGGGTACAAAACCCAAAACAAGTTTCTGAATAAGGAGATTTTGGAGCTCTCAGCTCTGCGGAGAAATGCGGAAAGGAGAGAGAGGGATCTGATGGCAAAGGTGAGTCAGGGGGGATGTGTCCCGTTATCCGGGGGAGGGGAGGTCAGGAAACCATTTCAAAGTGACGCGCTTTCAAAACTGGCCCAGCTCCCTGCGCGGAGAGACGCGGCCACTGGCACCGACATGTGTTTAAGGCGTGCGCAGTGCGTGGAGCTGTGCGCTGGGCTTCGCTGCCTCTGATGAGGGCAGAGAGCAGGGCCCTGAGCTGCGGTTTCATTTGTGCGTGAGCATTTCTGATGGAGTTTTCAGAAAACAAATTAAGTGCAATTACAGGGTCCCCTCGATTAAGGTTATTTGGATTTTTGTTTATGCTGTTGGGTTTCGTATCTATAAAAGGAGGGTGATGAGGTTAATGCCTCCTCTGTAAACCCACGAGGATTGGTGTGAAAGTCAGATATAATTATGGCTAAAAAGGGATTTTCAAAGTGTAAAGGGACCACAGACATTTCAGTTGTCATCAAATGACACTCGTCAACGGCTATTATGTACCTGATATACTCTTTATTTTTTTATTTTTTTGAGACAGAGTCTCACTGTTGCCTGAGCTGGAGTGCCGTGGCATCAGCTTAGCTAATAGCAACCTCAAACTCCTGGGCTTAAGCGATCCTCCTGCCTCAGCCTCCCGAGTAGCCGGGACTACAGGCATGCGCCACCATGCCTGGCTAATTTTTTCTGTATATTTTAGTTGGCCAATTAATTTCTAGTTTTTAGTAGAGACGGAGTCTCGCTCTTGCTCAGGCTGGTCTCAAACTCCTGACCTCGAGCGATCCTCCCGCCTCAGCCTCCCAGAGTGCTAGGATTACAGGCGTGAGCCACCGCGCCCGGCCGGATATACTTTTTTGAGCAGACCTCAGAGCATCTTCCCAGACTCCTCCTGCCTGTTGTCAGGTGGTTTGACCTGTCTGACAGGTGGGAGCTGGTCCAGGTCCGAGTGTCCTAAGGAAGAATTGGCTAGCGTAGGTGGCTGCTCATCGCCCTTGGGCTGAGTGGCACCTAGCGTGACCTCAGTGACTGGCACGTGGCCTGGCATCTGCTGCGCGCTCTAACCGTGCACGAGGTCGACGCATTTGTTCCCGCCCCTCCCGTGCCAGACCCCGTGAGAAAGAGGCCTGGGGGGCCACCTTAACACAGCAGGGGCCTGTGGCACAAATTAGTCTCTTGTCTTTGATGCATTCTGTCTCCGGCTCACTTCCTAACAGTTTGGGCCTGTCACTCCTTGATCATTTGAGGCACCCGAGCGTTGCTTCTCCTGGTCTCTGTGTGGAGGAGGTAACTGCCGCGTTCTCTGCAGTATTCCAGCCTGGAAGCCAAGCTGTGCCAGATAGAAAGCAAGTACCTGATACTGCTGCAGGAAGTGAAGACCCCGGTGTGCTCCGAGGACCAGGGGCCTGCCCGGGACGTCATAGCCCAGTTGCTGGAGGACGCCCTGCAGGTGGAGAGCCAGGAGCAGCCGGAGCAGGCGTTCGTCAAGCCCCACCTTGTCAGGTAAGGTGCCAGTGACTGGGGGTGGGGGCTGCTTCCCACTGCCGAGGTCCCCTTCTCAGCAGCAGTGGCCACTCAGAAGTGCACAGCCCTGTGTGTCTTTTTTGGAGACAGAGTCTCGTCTCACTCTATTGCCTGGGCTAGAGTGCCGTGGCGTCAGCCTAGCTCACAGCAACCTCAATCTCCTGGGCTCAAGCAACCCTCCTGCCTCAGCCTCCGAGGAGCTGGGACTACAGGCATGCACCACCGTGCCTGGCTAATTTTTTCTATATATTTTTAGTTGGTCAATTAATTTCTTTCTATTTTTAGTAGAGACGGGGTCTCGCTCTTGCTCAGGCTGGTTTCAAACTCCTGACCTCGAGCAATCCTCCCGCCTCGGCCCCCCAGAGTGCGGGGATTACAGGCATGAGCACCTCGCCCGGCCCCAGATATAAATCTTTTTGAAGTTTCGTTCTTTCGGCGTTATTGATGGGATCGTCCAGGTCAACAGTGAGCTCTGTGCCCTTCCCGCCTTGTGGGCAGGACGTCCTCGTGTGCGTGCACCAGCATCCGGCTCCCTCCCCTGCGGGGACACCTGGCCCTCTCCATCTCTCCTCCTCACAGTCCGCGGTGCGGTGGGCGCCGCGGTCCGAGTCCCGTGTGCCTGTGCGGGGTTTCTCGGGGCCCGGGCGGAGCGGGATTCCGGGCGTGTCGGGAGCCGTGTCTTCAGCTCTGCGGGATCCGGTCTCCGTCGTGCCCGTGTGCGTCCATGCCCTCAGCAGCAGTGTGTGACGGCGTTTGTGTTAGTTCCCGTTGCCTCAGCAACAGGGCGCTGCAGACTGAATGGCTGAAGGCAGCACGCGTGTAGCATGCATGTATTAGCTGAGGGTTCGGTGGGGCCGCAGCCAGCACGTTAGACCCACTGGGGCCGTGTTCCTCTCGTGTCCTCCCTTCCGTCGGCCGTGCCCATGTCTGCAGCCGCGCACTGTGGCCCCTCCTCCCGCCTTGGCGGCGGCGGTGGCAGCTCCAGCCCCTCTCACCTGGCGTCTCTCCTGCCTCCTCTCCCAGCCTCTCGCTCTCGGACCGGCTCTCCTGCCTCCCTCCTGTACTCTGCGGTGTCAGGCCCCCTTGGGTCGCCCCCGTCATCCCCCCATCTGGAATTCTCAACCCCACCTGAGATGGTGCTTTTGCGCGTGCCGTGAAAAATAGTCACGGGTTGCAGGGCTTGGGGCCTGGACATCCTGGGGGCCATCGTTCTGGCCGCCAGCACCCTGATTCCTTTTTATCCCTAATATCTTGCAGATATTTTCTTCCTTTTCACCTTTTAAAGTGATGCTTTCAAAGCATAGAGTTGTGCGTGTGTAGTGTATGTGTGATATATAAACACACACACATACACAGACACTTACGTGGCCAGATTTATCCGTCTTGATTTCGTGGTAACCCTCCTGTGCTTTTCACATTTTCAGGGTCTTAAATCACTTGGATTTGACTTTTTTTTTTTTTGAAACAGAGTCTCACTTTGTTGCCCAGGCTAGAGTGCCGTGGCGTCAGCCTCGCTCCCAGCAACCTCCAACTCCTGGGCTCAAGCGATCCTCCTACCTCAGCCTCCCGAGTAGCTGGGACTACAGGCATACGCCACCACGCCCGGCTATATATATATTTTTTTAGTTGGCTAATTAATTTCTTTCTATTTTTAGTAAAGATAGGGTCTCACTCTTGCTCAGGCTGGTCTCGAACTCCTGAGCTCAAAGGGTCTGCTCCTCAGCCTCCCAGGGTGCTAGGATGACAGGCGTGAGCCACCGCGCCCGGCCGTGGATTTGACTTTTTCCCACTGTGGAGTATCAGGACGGCATGTAATTCGGTTTTCCCTGTGTAGACAGCTAGTTGTCCTGGCTTCTCTCCCTCGCCGACCCGAAACGCCTGGCCACGCCTCCAAGTGCTGCAGGAGCATGGGCCGCTCTCTGGGCTCTCTGTTCTGCTCCTCTGGCCTTTTGTCCAGGACCACGCCATTTAAGGCTTCCTTCTGTTTCTCTCGGCAGCGAGTATGACATGTACGGGTTCAGGACCGTGCCCGAAGACGACGAGGAGGAGAGGCTGGTGGCCCGGGTGCGCGCGCTGGACCTGAAGACGCTGTACCTCACGGACAGCCAGGAGGTGTCCACGGGGGTCAAGTGGGAGAACTACTTCGCCAGCACGATGAACCGGGAGATGGCGTGCTCCCCCGAGCTGAAGAGCCTGATCCGCGCGGGCATCCCCCACGAGCACCGCTCCAAGGTGTGGAAGTGGTGCGTGGACCTGCACACCCGGAAGCTCAGGGACGGCGCCGGGCCCGGCCACTTCCAGGCCTTGCTGCAGAGGGCGCTGGAGAAGCAGAACCCGGCCTCCAAGCAGATCGAGCTGGACCTGCTGCGGACGCTGCCCAACAACAAGCACTACGCCTGCCCCACCTCCGAGGGCGTCCAGAAGCTGCGCAACGTGCTGCTCGCCTTCTCCTGGCGCAACCCGGACATCGGCTACTGCCAGGGCCTCAACAGGTGGGCGCTCGCCCCGGCGCGTCCGCCCCCTAAGATGGCACAGCCCACGGGGAGCAGGCCGGCCTGCCAGTGCCCGCCTCCTGGCCAGCCAAGGAAAGCTGGTGCTTTGAGGGGGAAAAGTAGTTGCAGCGAGCTAGTTTTAATGTCAGAGAATCCCAGATTCCGGAATAACTCAGGGAAACAAACATGCCTTCAGGGAGTTTTAAGAACATGAAAAGTTAGTTTGAAATAACTTGGATTCTCATTTTTTTCTTTGTTCTCATTCTACTCGGGTTTTGGTTTTTGGTTTTTTTTGTTTTTTTTGTTTTTTTTTTTTTGAGGCAGAGTCTCACTTTCTGGCCTGGGCTAGAGTGAGTGCCGTGGCATCAGCCTCGCTCACACCAACCTCCAACTCCTGGGCTCAAGCGATCCTCCTGCCTCAGCCTCCCGAGTAGCTGGGACTACAGGCACACGCCACCATGCCCGGCTAATTTTTTTCCCTATATATTTTTAGTTGGGCAATTAATTTCTTTCTATTTTTAGTAGAGACTGGGTCTCGCTCTTGCTCAGGCTGGTTTCAAACTCCTGACCTTGAGCTATCCTCCCTGCTCAGCTTCCCAGAGTGCTAGGATTATAGGCGTGAGCCACCACGCCCGGCCTCTGCTCAGGTTTTGATCAGGAGCTTGGTTTCATTCATCTGTAATGCAGGGAGTGAGAACTGGTGGTCAGTCCTTGTTCATACAACGTACAGGATCTTTGCAATTCCAGAACTTGCCCCTAACAGTTCTTCACCTGATAGGGACTAAACTGGTCTCTTTCAGACTAGAATCTTCTCCCAGGTCTTGCTTGTCTGCTTCCACAGGCAGCGGGCGCCAAGAGCCCCTCGCCTGGGCTCAGGGATCCAGGCTTGTCCTGAGTGGCCCAGACGGCCGAGACCCGGGGGTGGGGGGTGCCACCAGCTGCTCCCTGGGAAGCCCCTCCTGTCGCAGGCCCTGAGCGCTGCGACTGGTTCTGCCCGGCTGACACACTCTTTGTTGGTGCGTCATTGCAGTTGTCTTTGCATTCCTGCCCCGCAGTGACAGCAGGTCACCACGCTTGTTTGACGCACCACAGAGGAAGAAGGGGGACCCTGCGTGCACCATAGGAATTCCGCAAGCCAGGCGCCTGCACCTGAGCCAGATAGTCTGGCTGCTCTGAGGCCTTGCACCTGCCGGTGCAGGTGCTGACCTCCAGGTGAGGGCTGTCCCTTTGCACCTGCAACGGCAGTATTGCAGGAAGGAAGGTTCTGGACTGGAATGTCACTTGGTTGAGACCTGAAACTAACTGGTTTCCAGGAAGCTGTGGCCTCCAGGGTGGTGAGGACGGGGCAGCCCCTCTCCTGCCCTCAGCAGGTACGGGGGCTTCGGCTGCTCCTGGACGGTGCCCATTTAAATAGAACACTGCCTTAGAAAGCAGTCGTCGTGTTTTACCTAAATCCACAATTCACGCTGTGTGTCTAATCTAAAAGTTCCTGAGGCTGGAAACCTCCAGGGAACTGCAGGATGGGTGAGGGCGTGAGCAAGCCTGAGCAGGGTCCAGCAGTGCTGTTTGTCTCGTGTGGCCAGGAAACCGTTCTTCATGCCAGTGACGCTTCCAGATAATGGCAGCTTTTCTCTGGCCCCCCACCCCATCACCGTTAAATCCTCTGAATTTTAACCATTTTCATTGGATTTTTTTCTTCAAAATATTTGGTGCGTGTCCATGCCTTCAGAGTGCCCAGAACTTGAGTGGAACTTCTGGCTGGTTCTGTGTTTCCTTCCTCTGCCGAGGCCGCCTCTCTCTTCCCCGCCATGTGAGGCCCCCCTCCCTACCCATCCCAGGTCTCTTTTTGTTTCTGTTAATTTGAGATGAGTTCATCAGAATTTTATCTGAGGAAGAAAATACAGCAGATTCCGAGAAATGAGATGAGGGTTTCCCATGAGTAATGCTCACGAGCTCCCTGCCCCGGGCAGAGGTTCTGGATTCCAGCTGAGCAGGGCGGCTCTCCGGTGCCGCCTCCTCTCAGCCTCCACCCGGCCTCCTCCCAGCCTCCTCCCGGAGGATGCTGCTGCACCTCCCTGGGCTGCTCACAAGCAGCCGGTGGGTTAGCGGCAGCATGTGAGGGGCTGCCTCAGCTCCCGACCTGAGCAGCTGCAGGTGCTGGCTCCTCACACACACACACTCTCACATGCACACTCACACGTGCACACACATGCACACACACGCTCATGTACGCACATGCACACATACATGCACACGCACACTCATGCACACATACATGCACTCACACATTCGCACACATGGACATACTTGAATGCACATACATGCACACGCGCATGTACACACGTACTGGCACACACTGGTGCACGCACACACGCTCACACATGCATGCTCAAGCACTCGCACATGCTGGTGCGCACACGCACGCACACTCACACGTGCATGCACACATCCACAGTTGCATGTACTCTCACACACTGGTGCACACATGCGCACACACACACACGTGCACACTCACACACACACGCCCTTGTGGGGTTCCTCTGTCCGCAGCCCCATTTCGTTCCTTCAGCCAGGAAGCAGGACGTATCAGGAAAGCTGTTTTTACCGCCTCATATTCTTTGTTACTTATTCACATCCGGATTCTTCTGTGCACAAAAGGACTCGTTGGAACTTCTTGAACGGTGAACTCAAAGAATTAGCTGCACTAGCAAAAATCTTATAATGAAAACGTCTTTTAACATGAGGCTGGTTGATCGGCGGGAACAGTTTCATCCTTGAACCAAATGAAGGGAGGGGAGGGTACAGCTTTGCTTCTCAGATTTCTTGGCAAAGAGACACTTCCTTGTTCTCTGTTGGGAGCTAGACGTCGTTTTGGCTGTGAGCGAAAAGCAGCGTAAGGCAGGCGTCCCCGCGGACACAGTGGCGGCGGCCTCGTGTTTCTGGGCACTCACCTGTTCTCCGCTTGCCCGCAGGTTGGTGGCGGTGGCCCTGCTGTACCTGGAGCAAGAGGACGCGTTCTGGTGCCTGGTTGCCATAGTGGAAGTTTTCATGCCTCGGGACTATTACACGAAGACTCTTTTAGGGTCCCAGGTACTTCTAAAAATTCTGTGCTCAGTCACCAGTTTGTAGGAGCCCAGCTGAAATTAACCCTTTGTGGGGGGAGGGCTTTGCGCTCGTGACTTCAGCAGCTGGTCCCCGGAGGTGGCAGGGCACGTGTCGGCTGCTGGAGCAGACGGCGCTGGCTGCGAGCAAGGCTGGGCTGTGCTCCTTCCTCTTGCGGGGAACCAGCAAGATGGCCCGTGGCCCATCTCCCCCGGCGCCAGGCCTGCTGGGGTTAAGTCGTAACCCCGGTGCTGGGGAGCCTGGTATCAGCGCAGGTCCTCGGGAAGCAGGTGCCAAGGCAGGACTAGACATGCCGGAGACTTCCGAGGGAACGAGCTGCGTAGGACGGGCAGGAGCAGGGAACCCAGCCAGGGGAAGAAGGAGGACTGGGAGGAAGCGTCCTGGTGACTGTGCCGTGACTGCTGGGAAGTTCTGGCTGGGCCGGTGGGGCATCCCCAGGCCCAGGTCCCTGTGGGAGGCACCTGCCTCCTGCAGAGTCGGGCTCGTGAGTGCCCGGCCATGCTCGCTCACTGGCTCCTGGGACGGGCGCAGGGCTGGGCCCAGAGGGGCACAGCCCCCTCCACAGGGTCCAAACGTGCATCTCCTGCCTCACACCTGCAGTCTGACACCGGGGCCAGGGGAGGATGACGAGGGCGGGAGAGCCCAGAGATTCTGTCTCCGCTTGGGACAGTCCTACCTCCGGACCCGACCCTTGACCCTTGTGGCCCAGGGCACCTCTTTCCTCAGCTGGGTGGGGCTGCTGCAGGCCCTGGCTTGGCTTTGCAACGGCCCGTTCTTGGTTCCCTGTGGGACACACGTGTGTCCTGTCTGTGAGCCGGGCTGTGCCTGTGTGCACCTGCCGTGCCACACACCTCTTCTCCGGCTCCCGCCGCACCTGGCCTGCCTGCTCAGAGCCACTGCTCGCCCTGCCCCTGCTCTGCTCGGGGTGGCGAGGGCTGGCGCACAGGCCAGCAGAGGCACGGGCAGGAGGCCGGCGGATGGAAGGAGGAGGTTGAGGGACTTGTCCTGTCTCCATCCAGGCTCTGCCTCTGTCGGGTCTTTGTCCTGTCTGGCGGGTCCCATGCCAACAGGCGGTCCCACATCGGCAGGCAGTCCCACACCCCCAAGCGGTCCCACACTCGCAGGCTGCCCCATCATCAGCGTCTGTTTCCCAGCTTTTCTGCCAGCCTCGGGGTGACGCACCTCTGTGACATGCACCTAGAGTGAGCCCCACTTTCCTGGCTGGGCCCCGACTGCGTGTCCCCTCGTTCTGCATTTCTGCCGTGGAGGTGGGGTGCCTCACTCTCGCCTCCCGTGACCCCCATCCTGCCAGCGCCTGCTCCCCAGGGAGAGCCACCTCGAGCCACCTGGACGTCCCTCCTTTCCCACGTCCCCATCCTCGCTGTTCCTTCCGCCATGTCGGCCTGGTGGCTCGAGTCTCTGTCTGTGTTTGTTCCCTCACTGCCGCCGGGTCTCCACCCCCCCATCACAGCAGTCGCCTCTTCCTTTTCTTCCTGCCGTCCCTCTCGCGTCTTTCCACTCTCCCTGCTCCTCACCGGGGACTCAGTGTGTCCCTCTGGGGACTCGATGTGTCCCTCTGCCGCTCTCATCCGGGGCTCCTGGGGTGGAGTCCAGATGCCTTCGCACCGCCAGGCCCTTTCTCCACACGCCCTCTCTGGCCGGGCCGCCGGCACACCGCGCGCCTGCAACAGGCGCCGTTCTGTGGTCCACCAGGCCCCGGGTGCTTCCGTGCCCACGACCGCCCACCTCCTGGGGGCTCCCGCCCCGCAGCCGTGGCGCCCACGTCGTATCCCCTGCGGGCCACACAGGCCGGTGTGGAACAGGCCTCCGGGACGTGGCTCTCTAAGTGTGCCGTTCATCCGCCTGCTGACTGTGTGCCCCGCGTTTGCGCTGAGCATGCCCAGCACCCTGTTCACACCTGTTTGCACCTGCAGGAGCTGCTCTTTGTGGAAAGAGGATGGCGTTTCATGTGCCACAGCACATGAAACCATGCCGGCAGCACAGCCTGTGAGGGGAGGCGTCGTCACCCCCATTTGACTTGGGAGAAAACGGGGGGTTAAAGACAAAGCACCTGGCCTGAGCCGCCCCCACGCTGGGGGGCTGAGTGGGGCTGGGACTCAGGACTCGGCAGCTCTGGGCCTGTGCTCGCCTTCCCTGCCCACCCCCTCCTGAGGCCTCACGGAGGGACGGCGAGAGGGGCTGAGCTCCGGCCGTCCGGGGAGGGGGTGGTCCGAGCAGCCACCGGGGACAGGCCCCTGCCCCGTTTCCCAGCCATAGACGGGTCTTCCTCTGCCTCCCGTGCTCTCGCTGCTTGCCAGCCGAGCGAGAGATCTGCTTTTCTGTCGCTTCGGCGCATGAGCTGGGAAACGCACAGCCGTGGGCGGAGGCGGCTGTCCCGGTCGGGGGGATTGAAGAGGTCAGTAAAGAAAGTTTCACGCATGTCCTAGGCACCTGGCGTTAATAGCTCTGAAGACTCAAATGCAAAATCTCAGGTGACTCAGGAAAAACGAAGCGATGGTGGTTCTTATTCCAGGGAGGTGGGGTTGGGCGCAGGGGCAGGAGCTTGTGCTGAGGGTCACGCAGTCGGGTCAGAACCGGGCGCCCTCCCTCCCGTGAGCTTTGGAGCTTGGACACGTCACGTAGCTTCTCTGTGGGGCAAGGTGACGGAAGGTGCCGACACTAAGGAGCCATGCGCTGGCGTGGGCCAGGCGTGAAGCGTGGAACACGCACAGCCGGCCCAGGAGCAGCGTGGTTTGAGCTGCATGCGTCCACTCATACGTGGACTTTTCCCCAGTGAACAAAGATCAGAAATCCAGTATTTGTGGGACACAAACCCTGAGTGTGTGTAGGGCTGACGGTGCACAGACGTGGTCTGCAGGGCCGACGGTGGGCTGGGGCGTTCAGATTCTGGTATACTGGGGGGCAGGGGGTTCTGGAACAATCCGCCACACGTGCCTGGGGACAATTGTAGTTTCCAGGCGTTGGATAGAGAGGGTGGTTTAGTAGGTCGGTGCCGGCTTTTCCCCATCAAATCCAGTTGCGTAGACTGGAACGCGTCCAAGTGCGGTCTGCGTGAGGTCGAGTGTGGCCTTATGACACGTCTGTTTCCATTTCACACACTGGGGACCTGGTGCCTGGTCCCCGGCGGGGGCCTGCGTCCCTGGTGGAGATGTGTGTTCTCCTGCGGTCACAGGCAGAGGCAGGGAAGCCCCGGCCTGCAGGGTAACGTCCTGGCTCCTCAGGGTGGCTCAGGCCGTCTGCGCTGCCTGCGCTCGGCCGTGGCGCGTTCCCCTCCTAGCTCGCTGGGTCCCGTCCTGGGCCTGACTGCGGTTGTTGTGACGATCGGTGCGCCCGGCGTCCCCACCGGTCCCTTAGCCCCTCCGGGTCAGGGTTGAACCCCTCCGGCCCCTGCTGGCCCCAGCCCCCGCCACACAGCAGCTGGGACCTCCTGCCGGGTGTCCCTCCCGTGATGGGGGCTCGCGTGAGTCTTGTTTAGTCCTCCCGGCAGCCGCGAGACACAGACCGTCAGCTGGTTTCTAGAATGGTTTGCCAAAAAAACAAACAAACAAAAAAAAAAAACATAAATAGAATGGTTTGCCGGAAGCGGCTGGGCTGCTGAGCAGCGGGGTGGGATTAAACCGAGGGGCCCCAGAGTCTTCGCTGCCCCGCACGGCCCGGCACGTGTCTGCTGGACAGACATGGCAAGGCCACGCTTCCTCTGTGGCCTGGGACCGACACACGCCAGGGCTCAGTCCACGGCCCCGCCGGCGTCTCCTTCACCCAGGCGTGGGCCGGCGGGGCCGGTGTCTCCTGCCGGGTGTCTCCTGCCGGGTGGCTCCTCCGGGTGGCTCCTGCCGGGTGTCTCCTGCTGGGTGTCTCCTGCCGGGTGTCTCCTCCGGGTGGCTCCTCCGGGTGTCTCCTGCCGGGTATCTCCTGCCGGGTATCTCGGGCCGGGTGTCTCCTGCTGGGTGTCTCCTGCCGGGTATCTCGGGCCGGGTGTCTCCTGCCGGCTGTCTCCTGCCGGCTGTCTCCTGCCGGCTGTCTCCTGCCGGGTGTCTCCTGCCGGCTGTCTCCTGCCGGCTGTCTCCTCCGGGTGTCTCCTGCTGGGTGTCTCCTGCCGGGTGTCTCCTCCGGGTGTCTCCTCCAGGTGTCTCCTCCCGGTGTCTCCTGCTGGGTGTCTCCTCCCGGTGTCTCCTCCAGGTGTCTCCTGCCGGCTGTCTCCTCCCGGTGTCTCCTCCGGGTGTCTCCTGCTGGGTGTCTCCTCCGGGTGTCTCCTGCCGGCTCCTGGCGAGGCCTGCGCCACAGGCGTTTCGGGGCCAGGAGCTGGTTCCAGGCCACTGGTCCACCCCACCCCCGTGCCCGCGGGGAGGGTGCCGCTCAGCAGACTCTTGGCGTGTGCCTTCCGTGTGCGGGCCGGCTGCGGCTCCGGGGGCATGGGTGGTCCAGCTGTGTGCAGGCTGTGTGCCTGGCTTGTCTGTGCCCGGTGCCCGGCCGACCCCACACCCTGCCCCGCCCTCGCAGGTGGACCAGCGGGTGCTCCGGGACCTGCTGAGCGAGAAGCTGCCGCGGCTGCACGCCCACTTCGAGCAGCACAAGGTCGACTGCACGCTCATCACCTTCAACTGGTTCCTGGTGGTGTTTGTGGACAGCGTGGTCAGCGACGTGCTCTTCAAGATCTGGGACTCCTTCCTGTACGAGGGGCCAAAGGTGGGTCTGCCAGGCTTGCGCCCGGGGGCTGTGGGCAGCGCGGGAGGGCGAGCGGCGCCAGAGTGACCTCGGCACGGCGCCCGCAGAGCCGGGTCTGGGGGCTCAGGGAACGGCAATCACCTGCCGTTTGTGGGAACAGCGGTCTGCGCCAGCCCTGTGCCAGCACCGAGGCTGCGGGTTGCAGTCGGAGCCTGGACGCCACCCTCTGCCACGAGGGGCCGGAGGAGGCCCGGTAAGAGAGGACTAGGGGGCCGGGCGCGGTGGCTCATGCCTGTCATCCTAGCTCTCTGGGAGGCCGAGGCAGGAGGATCGCTCGAGGTCAGGAGTTCAAGACCAGCCTGAGCAAGAGCAAGATCCCGTCTCTACTAAAAATAGAAAGAAATTAGCTGGACAACTAAAAATATATAGAAAAAACTAGCCGGGCATGGTGGCGCACGCCTGTAGTCCCAGCTACTCGGGAGGCTGAGGCAGGAGGATCACTTGAGCCTGGGAGTTTGAGGTTGCTGTGAGTTAGGTTGACGCCATGGCACTCTAGCCGGGGCAGCAGAGAGAGACTATGTCTCAGGAAAAAAAAAAAAAAGTTAGTAATTCAGACCCTAGTTCACTTGAGATGGAAATTGCATCTGTAGGTAGAGCTTTCTAAGAGTTTCAGAGTCAGAAAATCCTGGTTTGAGTTTTATTTAAGAAATGATTCCTTAGCTAGTTCCTCGTGCTTTAGCTGAATGTGGAAGGGCCCACAGAGACCTGCTCCGCAGGAAGGTCTGATTTGGGCTGACGTGTGGTTGGAAACTCCTGCAGGACTGTCTTCTCCCACAAGAAAGGGGTTAGGGTTAGGGTTACGGTTTGCTGCCCCAGGTCAAGTGTCTGTCCCCAGTGGGGCCTGTGCAGGCCGCTTCCCCCGGCCTGGGGGGCTACACCCCACCCCCACCCCCGAAACTCCGGAGTCCGGCCGGTGTCTGGAGCCGTGATGTTTTTCCACTTGGAAATCTCCCTGCTTTTCCCGCAGGTTATTTTCCGTTTTGCCCTGGCACTTTTTAAATACAAGGAAGAGGAGATCCTGAAACTGCAGGATTCCATGTCCATATTCAAGTATCTCCGCTACTTCACTCGCACCGTCCTGGATGCCCGGTGAGTCCGGGGGAAGCCGCCACCCTCCCTGAGGCGTGGGGTCGGGAGACGGAGTTTCCTTCCGGGGAAAGGGCGGAAGGGGGAGGAGTGCGGTGGCCTTCCGCAGACTGGAGGGGCAGAGGGGAGGCGGCTCTGTCCTCATCCACAAGTGCGAGTCCACGCCCGCGGTGGTGGCGCCACTCGCCTGACAAGCGCTTGCTGGTGCCCGGCAGGCCTTGCTGGTGAGGACAGCCCTGTCCTGCAGACCTGGACGGGAGCCGCTGGGCACTGTCGGTGCCGTGGCCGCGGAGCCCAGGCCCGGGCAGGCGGAGCAGCTGGGCGGGACCCCGGGGCGGCACACGGAGCCGAGGGAGCAGGCATTGGGGAAACGGAGGCAGCTCAGCTAGGCTGGGCTCGAGGCTGGGCCGCCGAGGTCCTCGCAGACTCTGCTCGGGACGCGCACTTCACCCTGGGGGTGTCGGGACGTCGCCGTGGGGCCCGGCAAGAGGGGGAGGGTCAGGTTGGAGTTGGGGTTGGGGTAGGACTGGCAGCTAGGAGGCCGGGGTTAGAGGCCAGGGGAGGGGTCCCAGTGAGAGGTGGTGGCCTGAGGGACGTGGCCCCTGGAGGAAAGGGGGCAGTGGAAGAGGGTGGAGAAGGACGACCGGGACCTTGGAAGGGCCTTGGGTTTCTGGCCAGGGCAGCTGAATGTTCAGGAACTGCTCTGCCCCCCTGCCCCCACCCCAACAGTCACTGCCCTTTCTGGGCCCGCCCTGTCCGTGTGTCCCGGGACCGAGCTGCTGACTTGGCCCTGGCCGCGAGAGGCGGGTGCTGGGAAAGGTGCTGGCCGGGCTGTCCCAGCCTGCTAGAAGTCACCGCTGTCTCTAGGGTCTTCGTCTTGGGGGGCTGGCTGCTGAGACAGTTTCAGGCTCGTTAATGGCACCAACAGCGGGATCCGAGCGCTGCCACAGGAGAAGGGGGGGTATGTGAGAATAAAGCTTCCCGTGCAAGGTTGATCCTGTGTCCTGGGGGCCTCGGGGGTGTGTCAGGCTCACGCTGGGTCAGGATCGCGGAGAACGGCCTCCGTGAGCTCCCGCCCCAGCTTGCCTGTCCTCGGTGCTGCTGGGTGGGACAGACGTGAGCAGGCGCCGGCCCTTCCCCACCACGCCGGCAGTCTCGTGTGGGCCCGCAGCGCCCCCGCGTGGTGGCTCTCCGTCCAGCTGCCTTGTTGCTCTGGAAGCCAAGGCCCAGCCGTGTGGGGGTGACAGCTACGCAGCAGGCCCCGGGAAGCCCCGGCCCCACCCCAGCCCCGGCCCCACTGTCTAATGAGCTCCTGGACTCGGTTCCAAGGGTGCTGGCTCTGCAGTGCCGTGTTTGGTCTCCCAGAAAAGGAGGGAGGAGGCCAGGCGCAGTGGCTCACACCTGTCATCCCGGCACTCTGGGAGGCCGAGGCAGGATTGCTCAAGGTCAGGAGTTTGAGACCAGCCTGAGCAAGAGCGAGACCCCGTCTCTACTAAAAATAGAAAGAAGTTAGCCAAACAACTAAAAATAGAAAAAAATTAGCCGGGCATGGTGGCACATGCCTGTAGTCCCAGCTACTCGGGAGGCTGAGGCAGGAGGATGGCTTGAGCCCAGGAGTCTGAGGTTGCTGTGAGCGAGGCTGACGCCACAGCACTCTAGCCCGGGCGACGGAGTGAGACTCTGTCTCAAAAAAGAAAAAAGAAAACGAGAGAGGGAACTGTGTGGTCAGATACAGTCAGAAGTCAGGTCAAAGTTAAACTGGTCTCTGCGGTGGACTTGGTCTCCAAGCGCGGTTGGCCACAGGCCCTTCTCCTCTCTTCATGGAACCTTCCGGGCCTGGCTCGCCTGGGCATCCACTCATTCCCACTGGTCGGTCCCTGGATGGGGTCTCCGAACCCCCGATCTGTGCCAGGCCTCGAGCCACCACCAAGGCTGCGGATGCGCCAGCACCTGCTGCCCCTGAGCAAGCGTCAGGTGCTGTTCTCAGTGCTCACGTGTGGGGGCTCGGGCGACCCCACAGCCTGGGAGGTGGCACTGCCATCGTCTCCAGTGTGCAGAGGAGGCGTCAGAGGCCAGAAAAGTGTGACCTAAGTCCCACGGTATGTGGGAAGCTAGAATCTGGGCTCGGGCAGCCATGCACAGCCTCCCCTTTCTGGGCCGAGTTGCCTGCTGCCTCCCTGTAGGAGGCAGGCCCTTCCCCATCCCCCCTGGTGACGCACCTGCGCCAGGCCACCTGCGTGGCGAGCCCTCTTCCCGACGCCCCCACCCCCGCCTCAGCCGTGCTGCTGAGAGGGCCGCATATGACCCTCCTCTGTCCCGTGTCCTCCAGGAAGGTGGCCCCCCGCCCCCGGGTGACACACCTGCACCAGGCCACCTGCGTGGCGAGCCCTCTTCCCACCCCTCCCCCCTGGGTGACACACCTGTGCCAGGCCACCTGCGTGGCCAGCCCTCTTCCCGCCCCCTCCGCCACCCCTACGTCGGCCGTGCTGCCAGAGGGCCGCGTGTGACCCTCCTCTGTCCGTGTCCTCCAGGAAGCTGATCAGCATCTCCTTCGGGGACCTGAACCCCTTCCCGCTGCGCCAGATCCGGAACCGGCGTGCCTACCACCTGGAGAAGGTGCGTCTGGAGCTGACGGAGCTGGAGGCCATCCGGGAGGACTTCCTGCGCGGGCGGGACTCCAGCCCCGACAAGGGCGGGCTGGTCAGCGACGAGGAGGAGGACGCCTGAGCGCGGGTGGGCCTCCAGCCCGGCGACCACAGGGCCGCTAGAAAGCAGACGCCCGGGCACCTGCGGGCGGGGTCCAGCCCGGCGACCACAGGGCCGCTAGAAAGCAGACGCCGGGCACCTGCGGGCGGGGTCCAGCCCAGCGACCACAGGGCCACTAGAAAGCAGACGCCGGGCACCTGCGGGCGGGGTCCAGCCCGGCAACCACAGGGCCGCTAGAAAGCAGACGCCGGGCACCTGCGGGCAGGCTCCAGCCCGGCGACCACAGGGCCGCTAGAAAGCAGACGCCGGGCACCTGCGGGCGGGGTCCAGCCCGGCGACCACAGGGCCGCTAGAAAGCAGACGCCCGGGCACCTGCGGGCGGGGTCCAGCCTGGTGACCACAGGGCCGCTAGAAAGCAGACGCCCGGGCACCTGCGGGCGGGGTCCAGCCCGGCGACCACAGGGCCGCTAGACCCCCCTCCCACCCACCCCACCCCACTTCTCCACCCCCCCCCACCTCCCCACCCCCCCTCCGTGGAAACCAGGCGACGCACAGAAGCCGTTCTCCAAGGACGGATGGGGCGTGATTCCGAGTGAACGGTGGCCATCGTGCAGCCGAGCGGGCCACCCCGGCTGGCCGTGGCTGAGGGGACCGAGGAGCCTTCCCGGGAGCTTGGCAGGCAGCGGTGCGGCTGCCCATGGACGCTCAGGGACAGCTGGGACCTGGCTTCCTTGGGGTGGACTGGGGTCCTGCGGGGGCCACTGCGGGGAGCGCCTTTGCTCGGGGCCAGCGTTTGGCGAGCTCTCCCAGGGGTGGCCTCTGGCATGCCCGGGGCCCCGGCAGTTTGGAGGCCTGCAGAGGCTCTGAGCAAGGAGCTTGTGTTCTCACACCCTCTGGGCCCTCCCTGACGAGCGGACGAGAGAGCGTCCCTGGCGCAGTGCCGTTCAGGGCACGGGAAACAGTCCTCGGCGGAATGTTTCACACTCCCTGGAAACATTTGGAAATAATTCTTCTTTGATGTACCGTGTTTCCTCGGAAGGAAGACCTACTCACAAAATGAGCCCCGGCAGGATGTCTAAGCATGTGCGCCATAGAAGCCCCACCCTGAAAATCAGCCCTGGTGACGGGCGTGGCTGCGCAGCGTCTGCACAACCCGTGCGTGTCATCGCAGAGCGGGAAAGAACACGAGCAGCCCTTCCCATCCGCCCCGTGAGAGCTCTGTGGCTCCACAGGAGAGATCGGGGCTGGTGGTCCTAAGGGAAACAGAGTCACAAGACATTCAGGATGGGATTCGGGGTCTGGAGAGTGAGGATGATGCTCCAGAAGAAGACGGCTTCACTCTATTTGAATAAATGTAGATGGCTGTACCATACTTTAAAAAATAACACCTCCCCTGAAAATAAGCCCTAGGGTGTCTTCTTGAGAAAAAATAAATAATGACCCTGTCTTATTTTCGGGAAAACACGGCAAACACACTCAGACAAGAATTGGAGCGGTGCAGCTGTAAGAAGTGCCTTTCCCTCAGCACGGTTTTCCTGCTCCTTTCTGCTGCCGACCTCCCGGTGCCGTGCCAGCTGGTGTCCCAGCGCGCTGGGCCGAGCCCCGCTCCGCTGCCTTCAGCTGGGCAGGTGGGTTTTCACTGCGCAGAGGGACCCGGTCTCTGTATTTAGCCAAAAGCCTTTGTCTCTTTTCAGGTATTAAAAATGTGTTTTTTCGTTGTCTTTGCTCCTGGGAGCGGCTCTTGGAGGCTCCTGGAGGAGGTGGCCCTGTGGGCGGGCATCGTGGTCCGGGTGGGCGAGGTGGAGAGACCCTCCTGGTCCCCCCCGAGGCCACACGGCTGTCAGCCTGGGGTGCCGCGGGGGCGGGGCAGGCGCCGTGGGTCAGCCGCCCTGGGTGGGGCTCCCAGTGGACGTGCCCCTGGGATGTGCCGGCCCACCCGCCTGGCCTGGGTGCTGCCTGCAGGGACCGGCTCCTCCTGTCTGGTTTGCCTGGTAGACGCCCCTGCTGCGTGCTTGCAGAAATTGGCGGGGGCCAGGCAAGCGGCAGTCTTGGAGGAATGGACTGGGGGCCCCTTTTCGGGGTCCTCCTTGGGCATTTGGGGTCCTCTGCCTGTCCCGGAGTGAGGGAGGGTACCAGACGGAACTGTGGGCCCCGCTGTTTTCAGCCAACACTTCTGGAACTTACGCTTGTGCCTGTGGGGGAGCTGCCCTGCCCCTCCAGGGCCCCCAAGGCCCCCCAGCCTCCCCCGCTGCCCGGCAAGTGCCCCTTGTGGCCCCTTCGGGGGTCCCGCCCGCTGCTCTGGACCTCGCTCCCGCCAGCCTGCAGCCCCTTCGGGGGTCCCGCCCGCTGCTCTGGACCTCGCTCCCGCCAGCCTGTGGCCCCTGCGGGGGTCCCGCCCCCTGCTCTGGACCTCGCTCCTGCCAGCCTGCGGCCCCTGTGGGGGTCCCGCCTGCTCACCAAGCACAGGCCCAGGCCGCTCCCCACCACGTCCAGTGGGAAGTGCCAGCTTTTAAATCGATGGGGTTTTCGTGGGTTGAACCTGTTATTACTTTTGTATATTTTCACTACAGTTTATATTTTTATAGGCTATTTTTTCAAGGTTTTTCTAGATTCCATATATCTATTTTATATAACGAGTGCCAACTGGTGTGACTTCTGTGTATTTATGTCAGCCCTGGAGTGCCCCTCCCTCCACGTCCCCGGTGCTCCAGCCTGGCAGCCGCCCGTGGCTCAGCTGCCCGTGGCTCTCACGTGGAGGGCCCGTGTCTTCCCAGGTGGCCTCTGTGCCCCTGTGGCCATGCTGACGGCCGTATCATGACAGCAGCCGAGATAACCAGCTGCCGGGGGCACTCTGGTTCAGCGACCTCGTGTTGACACAGGAAGTACTTCAGACGCGTACCCGGTGGGTTTTAACTGAATGTCATGTTGTCCCACAAGCCCCGCCCTGCTCTGTGGTGCTGTCTCCTGCGTGTCCCCGAGCTTCTGGGCAGCCGGGCCTGCCGGGACGGCCTCACCGGGGGACGCTGGACGCGGGCCGGGCGTGCCGAGTGTCCTGCCAGGCGCTGGAGGATGTGGGGAGGGGCTGCCAGGTGACTCTGTCCTGCCCCACAGCAGCTTCCTTGCTGACCGGTCTTCTGGTATAGTTTTGGAATTGTAATACTAAAGAAAGAAATAAACTACTAATTTGTATAATATTCAGCCTCGAAGTGCAGTTACAGTCACTGGGTGGGGCTCACGCGAGGGCCTGGGGGGCAGGGCTTTGGGGGTGCCCTCTGACCTCCAGTCTCTGGGTGTCCCTGCGCGGGTGCACGCCGGGGCAGGGGGCAGGATGCATTGTCAGCAGCGGCAGCCCTGGGAGGCCGTGGCCAAGCGCAGGTGAGGGCTGGGGACCGGTGGCAGAGCCAAACCGCAGACGCGCGTCTGGAGCAACCCCTGCCGGGAACAGGCACCTCCCGCCAGCCGTGCCTGAGTCACAGCCTGTTTGTCTCCCGCCTGGGCTGACGGCTCAGGCCCAGCTGCCCCTGGGGACACCCCCGGCCACCCCTGGAAAAAACACGGATGATTAAGACCCAATGTCCTCCCGCAGCGGGGCGGGGGCGGCTGCGGCCGGGATTCCCAGCCAGGACGGGCCGGGGCCTGGTGGCTCGGGCTCCCGAGGTCACGCAGCACAGCGGCAGGGGCAGAGCTGGCACGGGGACCCGGGCTCGGCCACTGCGCCGGCGTGTGTCAGGGCACGTGACAGGCCCTGCCTCTTCCAGGGTTGCCACCGAGGCCGGTTCCGAGGAAGGCCCGAGGCCGTTACTCAGCGCCTGGGTCCCGGGCCGGAGGCTGCACAAACACAGACAGGAAGCGGCTGGCGCTTGGACTCACGTAGGCCCGGTGACTCGCTCCCGTGTGGCCTCGGCCGGCTGCCCGCTGCACGGGCCACCGAGGCCCTCGCAGGCCCTGGCCTCCAGGTGGGCAGCCCGAGGGCGGCCGGAGCGGGGAACGGAGACGGGCTTGTGCCTGGGCCGGGCTGCGTCTCCAGGGCTCGCGCCCTGGCCGGTGGCATTCCTCCCGGAGCCGTGGGCTCTCGCCTGGAAACGGGCATGTGGGCACTCGGGGAGGCGCGAGCCCTGCACCCACCGTGCCTGTCTCTTCCAGGTCCAGGAGACACCTCGGACGGGCTCGGCCTCCAACGCTGAGTCCTGGCCGCGGTCCCCAGGAGTGGCTTTCGTGTCCCCCACCCCAGCCCGGCCCCACGTGGCCTCTCGCTGCCCGTGCGTGGCCCCAGGCCCTTCTCGTTTCCACTGTGGATTGCTTCGCGGAGAACAGTGTGAGAGGCGTGCAGGGGCCTCTGTGACCCTCAGTGTCCCCCACGTGGACAACGGGAGCAAACGGGACACCTTCTGGGCGGGTGGCTCAGGAAAGGGAGCACAGGGGCTGCTGCACCCACGGCTCACCAGTGGGGATGGGCCTGGCCTGGGGGAGCAGCCGCACCCCTCGCCGTGCCCTCCTCAAAGCACCTTTGTGTCCATTGCCCCTGTCTGGCTTCCTGGGACTGGCGTTTGTGGGCAGGAAAGGGCTGTGGGTGGGCGGGTGCCACCTGGCTTGGACCACAGGTCAGCGTGGCAGGGGCCTGGCGCCTGGGGGTGGCAGGGGGAAGGGGCCACCCTGAGTCACCGCGCCCGGCCCGTCTCTGAGCAGGGGGAGACGACACAGCGGGACACCGGCCACCGGCTCCTGCCCCTCCAGCTTTGTGCGCAGAGGAGCTGGCGCCGCAGACGGCCACGGAGGCCCACGGGCCCCGTCACTGTGGGGGGCCGTCCCGCGAGTGACAGGATGGCGTGGGGGTGCGTGTGGCTCACCCAATCCCTGTGACACGGGTTTGCAAGGATCTCGGCATGGGGCCCAGGGCAGGGCTGGCAGGGGCACCGAGCAAGTCGGGGCGGCAGGAGCATGGGCAGGGGCCACAGTGGTGAGGGCCACGCCAGGCCCCGCCCCACCGTCCTACCCTCTGCACAGGCCTCCCGGGAAGCCGCCTGGCCTGGCTTCCGTGCCCACACGACGCCGTCTCCCACGGTTACTCCGCTGCCGTCTCCCCGGCCGACCGGCCCCAGACGAGAGCGGACAGGCTGCCGTCGGCCACGGCGTTCCAGGTAGGGGTCCGGGGAGGTTCTGACTCGAGATTCCCCAAATCCGAGATGAGGCCGAGCCGAGCTTGGGAAGGCAGATTCTCGTTTATGTAAATAGTAACACACGTTATACAAACTGTCGGAATAAAAAAATACCTTTGGGGGGCGGGGAGGGGGGGTTAGCACCATCAGGGCGCGGGGCGGGCGGGCGGGCGCTGAGGTCTGCTGTTGGTCGGTCGGACGGTCTGCACCCGGCATGGGCCGGGCCCGGTCAGCGCCGGGCCTCTCGCTGGTGGCCGCGGGAGGGGGCGCCGTGGCTGGGCGGGGGGCAGGAGCGGCAGCACTGGGCGCGGACGGTGGGCAGCTGGCAGCGGCCCAACAGGCGCAGTGTCTCGCAGAAGCGGAAGGACAGGTGGTCGTGCTCACAGCCTGGGCAGGGCAAGGCCGGGGTCAGGGCTGCAAACCCGGTCCCCTCCCCCACAGCCTCAGGGAGGCCTCGGCAGCCCCGGGGCAGAGGGCGGAGGGAACGTCCCCTACCTGGGGTTGCAACCCTGCCCACCTGCCCTCGGCCGACCTCAGGACCCCGGACAGCCGCACTGCTGGGCTTCCAGAGACAAGGCCCAGAGACCCCACCCCTGCCCGCTGCATCTGCTCCCGCGCACCTGTCCTGCCACCCACCACCGCCCCTGCCACCTGCATCTGCCCCGGCGCACCTGTCCTGCCACCCACCACCACCCCTGCCACCTGTATCTGCCCCGGCGCACCTGTCCTGCCACCCACCACCACCCCTGCCACCTGTATCTGCTCCGGCGCACCTGTCCTGCCACCCACCACCACCCCTGCCACCTGTATCTGCTCCTGCGCACCTGTCCTGCCCCCCACCACCACCCCTGTCACCTGTATCTGCCCCGGCGCACCTGTCCTGCCACCCACCACCACCCCTGCCACCTGTATCTGCTCCTGCGCACCTGTCCTGCCCCCCACCACCACCCCTGTCACCTGTATCTGCTCCAGTGCACCTGTCCTGCTACCCACCACCGCCCCTGCCACCTGCATCTGCTGCAGCATACCTGCGTCTGCCCCAGCACACCTGTCCTGCCACCCACCCTGCTCCTGCCACCCACCACCACCCCTGCCACCTGCGTCTGCCGCAGCACACCTGTCCTGTCAGGCCTCTGCAGGCTGTAGTTAGTCACAGACCAAAGCAGAGTCCAGGCAGGGCCCTGTCTCCCAGGGCAGCCCCTTCCTAGCCGGGCAATGCAGCCCGGAGAGCGGGCCTTGTCCGGGCCCAGGGAGGGGACAGGGAGGGGCACAGGCCTGCTGGGGAGGGCGGGGAGGGGCACAGGCCTGCTGGGGAGGGGCAGGGAGGGGCGGGGAGGGGCACAGGCCTGCTGGGGAGGGGACAGGGAGGGGCACAGGCCTGCTGGGGGAGGGCAGAGAGGGGCACAGGCCTGCTGGGGAGGGGACAGGGAGGGGCACAGGCCTGCTGGGGAGGGCGGGGAGGGGCACAGGCCTGCTGGGGAGGGCGGGGAGGGGCACAGGCCTGCTGGGGGAGGGCAGGGAGGGGCACAGGCCTGCTGGGGAGGGGACAGGGAGGGGCACAGGCCTGCTGGGGGAGGGCAGAGAGGGGCACAGGCCTGCTGGGGAGGGGACAGGGAGGGGCACAGGCCTGCTGGGGAGGGCGGGGAGGGGCACAGGCCGTGGCTATTTTGGGATGTGGCCTCCCGCCAGCCTCCTGGCCTGGCTCCCAGTGCTGAGCCGCTGCTGACAGCCCCCAGCTGCCACCCCGGCCCACTCACCCCGCCGACCTCGGGAGGCGCAGGGGGGCAGGGCAGCCCCTGCCCTGGGCCGTCCCCTGGGCCCTGCGAGGGCACGCGGCTCCTCCACCCCCTCCGTGGCAGTGCCAAGCGGCACATCCGCAGCCAGCATCAGTCCCCCGAGACCTTGGCCCCGGCGCCCCCCCCCCCGCGGGATCCCTGGGCCGGCGACGTGCCGTGCCGTGTGGGCTGCCTGCGGCGGTGACCGCACACGCTGGAGTCCGGCTCTCCCAGTGTCCCACGCACGGCGCTCGGACCATCCGAGCATCCCGGGAATTCCAGGGTCTCACGGTCCAAGATGCCTCCCGGCTGCCCCTGACCACTGGCCGGCGGCGGAAACCAGGGACGGTGCAGTTGTGAGGCCCCCACAGCCCTCCCGCAGCCCAGCCCACCCGGGGGGCCCAGGGCCTCCCAGCCAGGCCTGTGTTTGGCCCCGTGGTTGGGGTCCTGCCCGGCCGTCCCCACTGGGGACCACAGCTGCCTGACTCCTGTGGCCGCCCAGCCTGAAGGCGAGCTTGGTGGCGCCAGGGCCCACCTGGGCCGTGTGGGGCAGGTGGGGCAGGTGGGGCGGGTGGGGCATTTCCACCAGGCCCAGAGGTGCCGGGCCGGCCTGTGGCCGCTCCAGGCCTGTCTCAGGGACAGAAGGCAGATGGGCAGATCCCAGGGCGCCGACACCCCTTGCCAGCCATGGGCTCGGTCCCACGCAGGGCACACAGCTCAGGGCACGGGAGCCACGGAAGAGCCACGGCTCTGCACGCAGTGCGGGAGCCCAGGCTGGCGGGGCTGCCCGTGCCATGAGGGACAGCGGTACTATGGGGGAGGGGCCCTGCACGCCCAGACTCCTTCTTGCGTGGGAGGACGCTGTGAGGAAGTGAGGCCATAGGAGGGAGAGGAGCCTAAGGCCACGAGGCTGGGAGGGAGCCCAGGGGTGTCAGGGCCGTGTCCTTGTGCAGCACTGCTGGGCCGCAGGAAGGAAGTGGGGGGGGGGCGTCCAGGCCATTCCTGGCTCAGCCCCCCCGCCTCCCCCCCCTGCCAGGAGAGCCCAGCTGGCCAGGAAGCCCTGGCAGCTGGGAACAAGCAGGGCCCGGGAGGGAGTCCCCTTCCTGCAGCCCCACTGTCCACCCGCACCCTCCTGCGGCCAGGGAGGGACGGCCGGGCTGGGGTGGGTCTCGTCCAGGCCCAGCCTCGGGACACCCCTGCACCCCAAACGGAAGCAGACTGCCCAGCGTGACCCCGCACCTGGCCACGGCCCCCCTCCACTCCTGGGAGGCTGGAGGCAGCCGCCCGCAGGACGCCCGGGAGGCTGGGACTCCAGGATGCTGGATCCCACACAGCCCCAGCTTCCGCGTGGCTCCCGTGGCCTCAGCAGTGGCCGCGTGGCTCCTGAGCCCACCACACGTGGAGCCAGAGGTGCCACGGGGTGCTGGCGACTCCCCATTCCCCCCCCCGCCCCCCCCTCCCCGCCTGGGCACTCACGTGGGGGCTCGGCCGGCTCACAGTCCTCGGAGCCGCAGGGCCGGGAGCTCTCGGGCCACGCCTCGTGGCCACACTGGCCGCCGTCCTCCTCGGGCAGCCCCGTCTGGGTGTTGACACACTTGACCAGGCGCCGCTCCACGCCACCGCCACAGGGTGCTGAGCACTGCGCAGAGGGGTGGGAGGTGTCCCAGCGGCCGGCCCGAGTGGAGAACTGGCCTCCTCCCAGGCGGCGCCACCCCGGGAAGCTGCACTGCACCTGCACCTGCACCTGCGCCCGGCCGGCCTCCCCCACCCTGGGCCTGGCCCCCCGAGGGCCCGCCTGGTGCTCAGACCCCCATCTGCTCCCACAGGGGGAGGGCGTGAAAAGGGGTGGCCCTCGGGCCAGGAGCCCCTCTCGCGGGACGTGCCTGGGAGGCCTGGATGGGCCCTGAGGCTCCAGTTAGCAGAGGCTGGGACAAGACACCTCAGGGCCCAGGGCACAGGCAGAGGACGGGGGACAGTTTCTGTCCTTATCAGCTGGGGGTCTGAGGTTTTTTAAAAGCCCTAAAAGGCCGGGCGCGGTGGCTCACGCCTATAATCCCAGCACTCAGGGAGGCCAAGGTGGGCGGATTGCTCAAGGTCAGGAGTTCGAAACCAGCCTGAGCAAGAGCGAGACCCCGTCTCTACTAAAAACAGAAAGAAATTAATTGGCCAACTAATATATATAGACAAAATTAGCCAGGCATGGTGGCACACGCCTGTAGTCCCAGCTACTCCAGAGGGAGGCTGAGGCAGGAGGATCGCTTGAGCCCAGGAGTCTGAGGTTGCTGTGAGCGAGGCTGACACTACGGCACTCACTCTAGCCGGGGCAACAGAGTGAGACTCTGTCTCCAAAAAATGTAAAAGAAAAATAAAATTTCTTCTTGTGGACCTAATTCTTCAAGGTTAGTAAATTAAAAAAAAATAAATAAAAAGTAAAAAAATTGTTTAAATTAAATATTTAAAAAATTATAATAAAATAAAATCTCTAAAATTAAGTTTACTCTGACAACGTGTGCACTTCCTGCGACCCTCCCAACCTGTCCCACTTTACAGACGGGGCGGCAGCGGCCCAGCGAGGCAAGCTCCTGCCCAGCGTCCCTCGGCAGCCGGGGACAAGGACACAAAGGCTCCGGGCCCCCCTCCGAGGCTCCCGAACCTCTGGGCCCCGCAGGCCTGGCGGGAGGGTGTCCTGCCCACCACCCGCTTCTGGGCACCCTGCCCTTGCCGAGCCCTCTGTCCCTGTCCCGCCCTCACGAGTCACCCTCAGGTGTCACCCCAGCCCCTCCTCGGCCGCCCCGTTGGTCACAGCACACGCCACTCTGCTCCGTTCCCCACCTCGACCGGTCATCGCGACACCCGGGGCTGGCGCGGGGCCACCCTCTGCAAGTCCTCCTCCCTCGGACCACGACCTGACCGGGCGCCCCCCAGCACCTGTGCCCACCCACCAGCCCGCTCACCTGGCCCCAGGGCCCCACCACCCACTGGGTGCAGGGCTGGGTGTTGCAGGGCCGCGTGCTGTGGGGCCTCAGCGCCTCCACGCACAGCCCCGGCTCTGGGCAGGTCACCAGGCGCTGCTGCTCGCCGCCGCCGCAGGCCTCGGAGCACTGGCGGGGCGCGCAGGGGTCAGGCGCGGCCGGTGCGAGGCGTCCCCGCCCCGCCGGACCCCAGGCTCACCTCCCTCCAGGACGAGGTGTACCAGCCGAGGCAGGGCCGGGTGCCGCAGGGCCGCTGGCCAGGAGGCTTGGGGGGGCCCGGCCTGCAGTGGAAGGGCCGCAGCGGCCGCAGGTCGCGGGCGTCCACGCACTGCACCTCCCGCACCGAGGAGCCTCCGCCGCAGCTGCGGGAGCACTGGGCCGCGGGGCGCCCCGAGCGAGTGCACGTCACACGCGTGGCCCGGGGCGCAGGCATCCCGCCCCACCCCCGCCCACCAGGGCGCATCCCTGCAGAGCCCCGGGAGGGGCGGGCGGGCGGGCGGCAGGTGGAGGAAGAGGAGCCAGGGGCAGCGGGAGGACGGCCAGAGCACAGGGCGGAGGACTCGGCCACGCAGACGCGATTCCCGAGAGGAGGGACCGCGCGCAAACTCTCCCAGCGCCTCCCCGCCCCCACCGTCCCCAAGCACCTGCTCCAGTCGCCCTCCTCCCCCACCGTCCCCACGCACCTGCTCCAGTCGCCCTCCTCCCCCCCACCGTCCCCACGCACCTGCTCCAGTCGCCCTCCTCCCCCCCAGTCCCCACGCACCTGCTCCAGTCGCCCTCCTCCCCCCCACTGTCCCCACGCACCTTGCTCCAGTCGCCCTCCTCTCCCCCGTCCCCACGCACCCTGCTCCAGTCGCCCGCCTCCCCCTCCCCCTCTGTCCCCGCGCACCTTGCTCCAGGTGCCCTCCTCCCCGCCGCCCGCCGCCGCCCGCCGTCCCCACGCGCCTTGCTCCAGTCGCCCGCCTCCCGCCGCCCCCGCGCACCTGCTCTAGTCGCCCTCATCCCCACCGCCCGCCGTCCCCGCGCACCTGCTCCAGTCGCCCGCATCCCTCCCCCGTCCCCGCGCACCTTGCTCCAGTCGCCCGCATCCCCGCCCCGCCGTCCCCACGCACCTTGCTCCAGTTGCCCGCGTGCCAGGCCGCGCAGGGCCGCAGGTGGCAGCGGCGGGCGGGCTGGGGCCGGCTGGCAGGGGCGCAGTCCTCCTCGCGGCCAGAGCTGCAGCGCACCGGCCTCCACACGGCGCCCAGGCCGCAGGTGGTGGAGCACTGAGGGGAGGAGCCCGTGAGGGCCGCGCAGGTCCCCCCCAGCCGCCCGCCGCCCAGCCAGGGACCCTCCCCGGCCTCGGTGTCCCTGGCTGCCAGAGGACCCTCCACCACCGCGCAAGCACACCGAGGACGAGGGTCGAACCCCAGCAGCCAGCGTCCCTGCTCGGGGACGTGAGCGCGTGGGGGTCTGCAGCCCCACCCCCACCCGGCCGTCCTGACTCCCCGCGCTCCCGGTCACTCCCCCGCCCGGCCGTCCTGGCTCCCCATGCTCCCAGTCACTCGGGGAGGAGTCTGGCTTCGGGTCCCAGCAGTGAACTGCCGGGTGCCCCGGGGGCTTGGCCTGCCCACCACCCCCAAACCAGGGATGTGAACGGAGGAACTGGCTTCTCCCAGAGACACGCTGGGGATGGGGGGGGACACGGGGGGGGCACAGGCCAGCTCACCCTGCACGCCCGCCCCGCTCACGCACCCATCTGAGGGGCCCGTTGGGGTCGTGCAGGCCCGGGGGCGGGAAGGACGTCCCCCAGGGGCCCCATGTGTGCCTGCCGTGCCGTCCCTTCTGTGAAGCCCCCTGAGCTGTCCAGGAGTGGCCCCGGCACCACGCGCCCACGACTCAGAGGGGAAACTGAGGCCCGACAGGCAGACTGGCCCAGGGTCCCACAGCAGGCCGTGTGGCTGAGCTGGGGCCCTGTTCCTGCCCTCACGGGGCCTACATGCGCCTCGGGAACCAGTCCCCACCCCGGGAGACAGATGGATGCACAGGCTCTGTCCTGCTCTGCACATTTTCAGATGGGGAAACCGAGTTACCGGGGTCCTGCGGAAGCTCCCAGCCCCCCCAGCGGCACCACTTGCCTCACTCCAGGCCCCCACTTGCCAGCTGGCGTTCCCTGCGACCGGCAGGTCCACGGGGACCCCCTCCGGGGCCAGGCGGGGGGCGAGGGGCAGGGCCCCGGCGGCTCCGCTGCGGTGGGTGGGGCTGTCCTGGGCCGGTGTGGCCTCCGGGGACTCAGGCTGGCCCCAGGGTCCTGGGCTCAGGGCAGTCGCCCAGGACACGGGCCCCGGGCCAGTCCACGGGAAGCGCCCCGGTGTGGCCAGAGTCTGCAGGTCCCCCGAGCCCAGGCCCGAGGGTGGGGTGGGGGGGGTCCCCGGCTCCAGGGACCCGTCTCCCCTCTCTGTCCACGGCTCCAGCACCGCGGCACCAGGAGAGGAGGGGGTGGGGCCCCCAGGGGGCAGAGGGGGCCGTGCAGGGCTCAGCCTCAGGGGCGGGGGGTACACACCGAGGCCCACAGGCCCCATGCTGTCGTCCTGGGAAACCTCATTGGTCCCGTCCTCCCCCACCGGGAGCTCGTCTGGGCCCCCCGGGGCAGCAGGCATGGCCACACCGTGGACGGGAGTCAGTGGCCAGGGCAGGCTGGGGGGCCCAGGGCCCGGGGCCCCCACAGGGGGGACATTTTCCTCAGACAAGAAGTTGGTCAAGGGGGTCCGGGGGGTCTGCTCCGAGGGTGGGGGCAGGGCTGGGACAGCCCGGCTGAGCCCAGGGCCCAGGGCCCCAGATCGAGGCCCTCCTTCCTCCCCAGCCATGGGGGGCCACGTGGCCAGCATGGGGGTGTCCGTGGGGGGCTCCATGGCAGGTTCCGTGGGGGGCTCCATGGCAGGTTCTGTGGGGGGCTCCATGGGGGGTTCTGTGGGGGATTCCGTGGCGGGTTCTGTGGGGGGTTCTGTGGCAGGTTCCGTGGGGGGCTCCGTGGCGGGTTCTGTGGCGGGCTCTGTGGGGCTGCCCTGGGGTGGGGGCGCCCAAGGCCCTGTCCCCGCCAGGACGGGATCAGGCTCCGCGAAGGGGTCGTAGGACAGGTCCTCGTGGAAGTTGATGAAGTTGTAGTCGTAGTAGAAGTCGTCCACAAACACGGGCCCCGGCGGGCCGGGCTCCAGGTCCTGCTCCTCGATGGTGTTGCCCAGGCCGGCCGGCTCGGGGGTCTCGGAGGGCACAGGGCGCGGGGCTGGGTGGCGGGGGACGAAGTCGACCTCATTGAAGAGCTCATGGCTGGAGGAGCCGCTGCCCGAGCCCTCGGGGCCCAGCGCACTGGGGGGCCGCGGGCAGGCGGGCAGGGCGCAGGGGGCCTCGCTTGCCGGCCGCCGGGCCTCCTCGCAGGGGAGGCCAGTGTCATTGGTGCAAAGTACAACGCGGTGCTGAGCGCCCGCCCCGCATGTCGCCGAGCACTGGGGGGGTGGGAGTCAGGGGTCAGGGGTTGGGGTCAGACCAGGAGGGTCTGGGGGGCTGCGAGGCCGGGCGGGGACCCGCCCCCCGCCCCCGCCCCCGTGAGAGCAGCCAGCCCTCGCCAGCCCTGCCTGACTCCAGGCCACGGCCCGTGGCCACTCGTGCCAGCACCTCCCCAATCCCGGAGGATTTGGGGCGGGGGCGGGACCCTGGGACCACCCGCCCCAGGGCCCCCCCACCCGGGAACAGGCAGTCGGAACCCCGCAGAGGCCGCTGCCCACCCTCTCACCCCGACGCTCACCTGGGACCAGTTCCCCACGGCCCAGGTGGCCGGACAGGGGACCTGGCGGTTGCAGGGGGCTTCGGCGGGCGGCCGGGGGAGGTGCTCGCAGGCGGGCGGGCCCAGGGCGCTCTGCTCGTCCAGCCCCACGCTGCGGACGCAGAGCACGGCCCGGCGGGAGACGCCCTGCGGCCCGCAGGACCGGGAGCAGGGCTGCCACTCACCGGCCCACCACCTGGCAAGGGGCACGCAGGTGCGTCAGACAGGTGGCGCCGACAGGCGCACAGCGGGGGGGGGGGGGCGGGCCCTCAGGGTTCAGGCAGAGTCAGGGTCCTGCCCCCGAAGCTGAAGCCGGTGACACAGCACAGCCCCGACCCTCCCTCGCCCCAGGGCACCTGGCCAGACCCGGAGCTGCCGAGCCCCATTTCAACATCCAGGACCCAGAGGGCAGCGGCCAGGTGTCTCACCTGGTCCCGCTGCCTGGGCGCTCCAGGCTGGGCACTCGGCCTCGGGGATGGAGGCCAAAGCCGGCTCCCCGGCTCCTCCGGGGCCTGCAGCAGACCCAGGATGCCCGGCTGGGGGGCCGTGCCCAGGTGTCTCACCTGGCCGGGCAGGGCTCCTCGCTGCACCTGCGCTGGCGGTCGTCGGGCCGGCCCAGGGGGTCGCAGTGCTCCTCGTCCACGGGCCCCGCCTGCCGCTCCGCGCAGTACACGCTCTGCCGCTGCACGCCTGCAGACACGGCACCCAGACGCCCACTGCCCACCTGCCCGCGTGCAGACAGCCCTCTGCCCGGAACGCTCCAGAACAGGGCCCACGCCTTGCCGGGATCAAGGCCGGCCTCCCCTCCCCCGGCCATCCTCCCAGCCCAACCCCCTCCAGTATGCCTGGGGGGGGGGGTGGAGGGTCAGTGGGCTGCACGCAGCCACCCCACTGCTTCCCGCCGAGGCCTGTGCAGCTCGGACGGCCTCTCCGAACCTCAGTGTCCTCATCTGTGAAATGGGAGCAGCCCTAGCACAGCCTCCAAGCCGTGGTGTGACACTACACGTGGTCATGCGTGTGCATGCAGACCTCGGTGCATGCGGCTGCGGCCCTCCCAGCAGGCTCACAGGAAGCCCGGAGAAGCGGCTCACCGCCCCGCGGGGCGTCCCCTGGAGCCCCACAGCCCCACAACCCCGGCGCCAGCCCCGTCCCTTCTCCCTGCTCCCGCTGGAACATGGCACAGGCCGGGGCGGGCGCCCAGCAGCAGGGAGGGCTGACACGGCAGCGGGGGGTGGGGGGAGGCAGGGTCCACGGGTGCTGCGCCTGTCCCCCAGCCTGGACGCCACGCAGGACCTACTGCCTGCCACCTGCTCCCGCCACGTTCCCGGGTGGCCGCCTGCCAAGCAGCCAGCCTGCGGAAGGACAGTCCCCGGAAGGGGCGGCGGGCCCAGCACACTTGTCAGTTTTGACGTTTGTGAATTTAGAGACACTCGTGTAGCACGGATTGGTTTGGCGGCTGCTGAAGATTTCTGCCGAGTTCTAGTGGGCAAGCTTGCTGTTTTTTCTTAGACAAAAGTCTCACTGTGTTGCCCAGGCTAGAGTGAGGCCGGCGCGCGAGCCGAGCTCACGCAACTCAGAACCCTGGGTCAGGAATCCTCTGCCTCAGCCTCCGAGTAGCTGGACTACAGGAGCGCACACGCCGGCTCATTTTTCTCTATATAGTTTTAGGTCAATGATGTCGTGCTATTTATCTTTATGTAGAGACGGGGCCTCGCTCTGCTCAGGCTCGTTTCAAACTCCGCGACCTTGAGCGATCCCCCGCCTCGGGCCTCCCAGAGCTGGGATGACAGGGGCTGAGCAGCACCGCGCCGCGCAAGTGCTTTTGTCATAAAGAGGGAGACCAGGACAGGGACGCGGGCGACGAGAGGGACCCAGGCCCGGAGCAGCAGCGGAGGAGGAGCGCAGCACACGCCTGCTGGTCCCAAATGTTCAAGGACACAAGCCAGTGCGGAGGCAAGCCGCGAGTCCCCAGCCAGGTGGGGCAGCCCTGCCAGCATCCCCCCTCCTCCTCCTCCTCCTCGTCCTCCCAAGGAGCCGTCTCCGGCCACCGCCGGGGGGCGACAAAGGAGCTCAGCAAGGCTTGGGATGCCAGCGCCGTCCGGTGCGGAGCAGACGCAGCCTCGAGGCCCACAGGCGCTGCGTGGGGACGCAGGACAGGTGCAGGTGCTGGGCCGCCGGGCCACGGACGGGGCCGCTCGCCAGGGCCGCCGCCGCAGCCTGCCCCGCATCCACGCCGCGCCGCAGCGCCGAAGCGCGCAGCGCGGCCGCGCGCCGGCAGATGGAGGCTTCAGAGCGGCAGGGCCGTCCAAACCGAAGGGCGCCAGCAAACGAGCAGAGTCCGCCCGCCCTCGTCCTCACCTGGTGCCGCCAGGTGACCGTGCACGGCCCGCCGCCTCGTCTCACTGGCCGCGGTGACGTGCACATTTGGCCCGCCCCTCGTCTCACCTGTGCCGCAGGTGACCGTGCACCATGCCCGCCCCTCGTCTCACCTGTGCCGCAGGTGACTGTGCACGGGCCTGCCCCTCGTCTCACCTGTGCCACAGGTGACCGTGCACCATGCCCGCCCCTCGTCTCACCTGTGCCGCTGGTGACTGTGCACGGGCCCGCCCCTCGTCTCACCTGTGCCGCAGGTGACCGTGCACGGGCCCGCCCCTCGTCTCACCTGTGCCGCAGGTGACTGTGCACGGGGTCCAGGGCCCGTGGTGCCAGGAGAACTCGGGCGGCCTGGCCTGGCCGCCGCCGTGGGCCTCCCTCTGGATGGTGTACTCGTAGCGCACCCCGGGGTTGCTCTCCTGGAACAGCAGCTGGCGGGCAGGTGGGGCCGTGAGCGCGAGGGTCCCTCCCTGCCCACCTGCCCGGTCCTGCCCGCAGGGTGCTGGGGCTGCACCATAGGGCATTTAGAGATGGGGAAACCGAGGCAGAGGCCCCAGGGCTCCCCACCTGCCCACCCAGTCCTGCCCACAGGGAACTGGGGCTGCATCATGGGCCATTTACCGATGGGGAAACTGAGGCAGAGGCCCCAGGGCTCCCCACCTACCCACCCAGTCCTGCCCGCAGCGTACTAAGGCTGCACCATGGGGCCATTTAAACATGGGGAAACTGAGGCAGAGACCCTAGGAGTCCCCACCTGCTGGCCCAGTCCTGCCCACAGGTAACTGGGGCTGCACCACGGGGCATTTACAGATGGGGAAACCGAGGCAGAGGTCCCAGGGCTCCCCGCCCGGCCAGGGTGGCACCTGGATCCAGATGGGCTCGCTGGTGGGGCCGGGCGACGTGAGGTTCTCCCAGTGGCCAGTGCGCGCGTAGGTGAAGGTGGCCCCGGCCACAGCGTAGTCCCCGCTCCACTGGATGATCCAGCCCCCGTTGAGGAAGTACTTCTCCGGGTCCTCGCTGCGCAGCGCCAGGAAGTTGGCGGCCTCCGCCACCTCCTCGATGCGGATCTCCCTCGCGCCGGCCGGGATCAGCCCCACGTCCACGTACCCTGTTGGCACGGGGGCTCAGCCGTGCCGGGCACTGGGCTGGCTGCCCCGTCCGCTGCTGTCCCCGCCCGCCCTGCAGGTGCCGAAGCCCCCACCGCAGCCGGGGATCGGAGCCCCAAGGGCAGGGCCACCACCTCACGAGGCTCCCGAGTCCCGCCCTGGGGCCTGTGGCTCTGGCCCGGCGGGTGCGGGGGCTCCAGGGACGGGGGAGGGGGTGTGGCACCCCCACGGCCCCCGTCCCTACCCACGGCCCCCGTCCCTACCCACGACCCCCGTCCCTACCCACGACTACCCACGGCCCCCTCCCTACCCACGACCCCCGTCCCTACCCACGGCCCCCGTCCCTACCCACGGCCCCCTCGCTACCCACGGCCCCGTCCCTACCCACAACCCCGTCCCTACCCAGGCCCTCGGCCTCCTCGAAGGTCCCGCTCACGGTGTGGCAGGTGGAGCCGTTACCCCGGCACACACCACAGCGATCCTCCTCAGCGCCCGAGTCGATCTCCAAGTCGCAGCCCACGCTCTGCAACGAGGGGGCCGCTGTGTGCGCTGCCTGCCTCGGCCCCGGCCTCTGCCCCAGCCTCTGCCCCAGCCTCGGGGCCCAGCCTCTGCCCCAGCCTCGGGGCCCAGCCTCTGCACCCAGCCTCTGCCCCAGCCTCTGCCCCAGCCTCGGGGCCCAGCCTCTGCACCCAGCCTCTGCCCCAGCCTCGGGGCCCAGCCTCTGCCCCAGCCTCTGCCCCAGCCTCGGGGCCCAGCCTCGGGGCCCAGCCTCGGGGCCCAGCCTCTGCACCCAGCCTCTGCCCCAGCCTCGGGGCCCAGCCTCTGCCCCGGCCTCTGCCCCAGCCTCTGCACTGCCAGCCTCGGGGCCCAGCCTCTACACCCAGCCTCAGGGCCCAGCCTCTGCACCCAGCCTCAGGGCCCGGCTTCTGCCCTAGCCTCTGCCCCAGCCTCTGTGCCCAGCCTCTGCCCTAGCCTCAGGGCCCTGCAGGTGCGAGGAGAATCTCTCAGCAGGAGTCAGGCCTCACTCTGGGCCCTGCCCTGCCACGGCGGTACCCTCTGACCCCAGTAAACTTTTACACCTCTCCTGAGCCTCAGTTTCCCCAAAGGCGACACAGGGAGAGCACCCCTTCAGAGCGTGCTGTGAGCACACACGAGGCACAGGCGTAGCCCCTGCCCCACTGCGGGCTCCTGCGGGGAGAAGCTGGGCCGGCCGGCGGGGCGCGGGCAGAGCCCGGTGTGGGCCTGGCTGGGGTCCCAGTGCCAGGAGCGGAGTGGGGGCCTCGCCTGGGAGGCCGAGCGGGCAGGAGCTGGGAGCCCGGTGGGGCCTTCCCCGCAGGGCGCACCTTGCAGATGCCGTTGATGCAGATGTCCCGGCTGGCCCGGCCCTGGTAGCAGGGGGTGCCGTCCACCACGGCGTCCCGCAGCTTCTCGGCGAAGTGCTCCTTGGCGGGCCGGCAGTGCAGCTCACAGGGGTTCTCTGTGGCCGGGGCGGGAGCCGTCAGGGACAGCCAGGGCAGGGGCCACGCCGCCTTCCGGAAGGCCCCGCGACACGCGCCGGCCGGCAGCTCCCGCAGGGCTGGCCTGGACGGCGGGAACGGCCGCTCGCCCCTCCCTCGCCCCGGCCTCGGCGTCCCCGGCGGCGTGGGCGGGACTCACCGTCGCTGACCACGGGCACCCAGGTGTGCAGCCGGCCCTTGTAGAGCACGGCGTCAAAGCGGCTGCACTGCACCTGGCGGAAGGAGGGCTGGCCGGCGGGGCAGGCCTGCGGGTGGCACAGGCGCACGCGCTTGCGCTGGCCCACGCAGAACCTGCCCTTGTGTCGGGGCCTGTGGGGGCGGGCGGGCGGTGAGCGTGGCCTCCTCCCCGCTCGGCCCCGGAGACCCTGCCCCACTGCCGGTCTGCCCACCCCGGGCCCAGGCACTCTCCCCGCTCGTTCCTACTGTGTTCCCCGAAAACAAGCCCTGCCCATAAAACAAGCCCTGGCAGGATGTCTAAGCACATGCGCCATAGAAGCCCCACCCCAAAAATCAGCCCTAGTGACGGGCGCGGCTGCGCAGCGTCTGCACAACCCGTGCGTGTCGTCGCGGAGCGGGACAGAACACGAGCAGCCCTTCTCATCCGCCCCGTCCTGACAGCTGCTGTCCCAGAGGTGACCGGAAAGGTGCGGGCAGCCCCACCAGCAAGGTCGGCTCCCCCTGTCGGGTCCCGGCCGTCCTGTGCGTGCTGCGAGCTGAGGCTCTGAGGGGAAGATAACACGTCCCCCGAGAATAAGCCCTAGGGTGTGTTCTCGAGGGAAAATAAATAGAAGACCCTGTCTTGTTTTCGGGGAGACACGGTAAGGACCTGTGGGACAGGATGGCAGAAAGTCGGGGCTCTGCCCCCTTTCTGTGTGACCCCGGGCGAGTCTTTGGCCACCCTCTGGGCCTCAGTTTCCTCATCTTTTATAAAATGGGGCTGGGACTGCTTAGGCAGGGGGAAGCTGAGATCAGGCACGGGCAGGGGACGTGACGGGCACTGGCCGGGGGGCTGCTCTGAGTCCCCGGCCCCGAGACCCAGCGTTCCACGGAGCCCTCGGGTCCTCAGCCCGGCTCCCGGGGCAGCTCCCGGTGTAAGACACTGGGCTATGAGGACAACGGGCACGTCCAGCTTCTGTTGCTGCTTGCTTGCTAACCGCAAGGCATTACGGGCACATTATGGGGCGCAGAGGAGAAAGACAAAGAGCGCGGAAACCGGAGTCTCAGCGAGGACCCGGAGCAGGTCGGAGCCTGTCGGGGGCAGGATGGAGTGAGAATCACTGTGGGGACCGGGCGCGGCGGCTCACGCCTGTCATCCCAGCACTCTGGGAGGCCGAGGCGGGAGGATCGCTCAAGGTCAGGAGTTGGAAACCAGCCTGAGCAAGAGCGAGACCCCGTCTCTACTATAAATAGAAATAAATTAATTGGCCAACTAATATATATAGAAAAAATCAGCCGGGCATGGTGGCGCATGCCTGTAGTTCCAGCTACCCAGGAGGCTGAGGCAGGAGGATCGCTTGAGCCCAGGAGTCTGAGGTTGCCGTGAGCGAGGCTGACGCCACAGCACTCACTCTAGCCCGGGCAACAAAGTGAGACTGTTTCAAAAAAGAACAAAACGGAGGCCCAGAGGAGGGTGGAGGGCCCGGCCCCAGGGGTGCAGAGAGGGTGGACCCAGATCCATCTCGGGGCTGCTGCTCTGTGCTGCGGCCCCCGGGGTCTCTCTGGTGTCTGGGCCTCAGTGTTCGCCTCTCTGCAATGGGACCTGTCAACCTCCGGAACATTCCGGAAGTGACGGAAGGAGGCCTGGAGGCTTCTCAGGGCTGGGTCGGGGGCAGAGCAAGCCCCGTGCAACTGGGTCTCTGGCCCCGCCGCCCGGCCGCACTCACGCGGGCTGCGTGCACTGCCGCTCCGCACTCTGCACCCCCACGCCGCAGCTCCGCGAGCAGGTGGACCAGGCGCTCCAGCCGGACCAGCCCCCGTCCACGGGCCGGAAGCCCACGGGCACACACTCTCCACTGAGGCACCACTGCCGGGACAGGTGGGGGGGCCCCAAGCCCGTCAGTCACCCTCACCCTAGTGAGAGCGAGGTGTGCAGGACGGCACAGAGCAGAAGGAACGAGGGTGTGAGAGAGGCCCCCTCACGATGCCCGAGAGCCCGGCCGCTTGGGGGAGCTGGGCAGGGAAGGAAGTGGAGCCCCACTTGGCTTCGGGTGGAGACTCCCTGGGGAATAGTGGACCGGGCCTCGCCCCAGGGCCTCCGTTTCCCAGGTGGGGGCTCAGGCCGCGGCGGGCTCAGGCAAGGCCAGGCCGACCCCCGACCCAGGCACAGACATGGCAGGAGGTCTGGCCTCCCCCATCCCCCCCATGCCCCACCCACCCCCACCACCCCCGCCGAGGCTGGGGCTGGGGCGTGCCTACCTTGCTCTCCCCACACTTGGTGCCGTCCACGGCTGCGTCCAGCTTGGAGTGACAGGTGGTCCCCACAGAGCACCAGAGAGTGTGGCACACGTTCTGGGGGGGGGCAGGGCCACACCCTCACCGCCTCCACCCCCAGCCTCCCCCACCCCCAGAGTCCCCACTGCCCCTCCCCCTCCGAGGTCTGCAGACCTGAGCACCCCAGGCCCCGCCCACTCTGTGTCTGCTCCCTCTTCCCGCCCCTCCCTTCCAGACCATGCGGGCTGTGGGGGGCCGTGCTGGGCCCCAAGATGCAGGTTTGCGGCCCCGCAGGTTTGCAGCCCCGAGTGGTCCCCGGCTGCCCCCTCCTCTGGAGAGGCCCGGTTAGGGGGTCGCTCGGGCCGACCTGCTCCAGCCCCCGGCATGGCTGTGCCTCCCACTAGGGGCAGCTCTAGGACGTGGAGGGGCTGCCCACGCCCCCGGGGGGCACACGCCCAGCCCGGGGTGCGGCCACCCGCCCAGGCCACTCCGGGTCTCACAGTGCCACGTGGGGGCCGCGCCCAGCCGGGGGTCCTCCCAGGCCGCACCCACAGGCCAGGGAGCCTCGGTGCCCTCCTCGGCCCCCAGACGCGCCCACTCACGTCCATGTTGTCGCAGAAGGCGGAGTAGGGGCCGTACTGCAGCCGGCACTGGTGGCTCACGTCGTAGAGGACGCCAGGAGGCACAGAGGGGAAGTCGAGGACATCCTCGGCAGGGGCGTCGTCCAGGCACAGGCCCCACCCGCGGCTGCAGGGGTTGGATGGGAGGGCGGCAAGGCACAGCCGGTCAGACCCACCGGAGGCCTCAGGGGCCAGAGCCCTGCCCCACTGAGAGAGCTGCAGCCTCCCCACCGGCCAGCCTCTCCACCGGCCAGCCTCCCACACCGGCCAGCCTCCCACACCGGCCCAGCCAAACCCACCGGCCAGCCTCCCACACCAGCCAGCCTCCTCCACCACCCAGCCAACCCTGCCGGCCAGCCTCCCCCACCGGCCCAGCCAAACCCACCGGCCAGCCTCCCACACTGGCCCAGCCAAACCCACCGGCCAGCCTCCCCACCGGCCAGCCTCTCCACCGCCCAGCCTCCCCCACCACCCAGCCTCCCCACCGGCCAGCCTCTCCACCGCCCAGCCTCCCACACTGCCCAGCCTCCCACACCGGCCCAGCCAACCCCGCCGGCCAGCCTCCCCACCGGCCAGCCTCCCCCACCACCCAGCCAACCCCACCGGCCAGCCTCCCACACCGCCCAGCCTCCCCCACCGGCCAGCCTCCCCCACCACCCAGCCAACCCCACCGGCCAGCCTCCCACACTGCCCAGCCGACCCCACAGGCCCAGCCAACCTCACCGGCCAGCCAACCCCCCAGGCCCAGCCTCCCCACCGACCAGGTTGGGCCCCATCTCACCTCCGAGTACTCCAGCCCACCCGCCACGCCCCCTCCACTGTGAAGCCTCTGTCCTGTCCTTGAGACGCAGCCCAAGGGCCTTTCCCTCGGAAGGCCTCCCGTGGCCTGCTCTGAGTCCCTGCAGCCCCTGCCCCGGCCCAGACCCTGGAGCCAGGCCAGAGAAGGATCTAGAGAGCCTCACACCACAGCTGACACAGGCAGCTCCCGGGCAGGGCCAGCCACCGGCCCAGCCATCTGCAGAGGGACGGCCCCTGCCCTGGGAGAGCGCCCTGCACCCACTGCCCCCACTGCCCCACTCTGTGCACTCTCTGGCCGGGGCTCATCGTACTGCCCTTGTGGGCCCTGGGAGCCCCACCAAGGGTGCAGAGAACTGAGCCAGGCAGACGGTCAGGGTTGGGGCAACCCGGGTGGCAGGGACTCAGGCAGAAGCAATAGAGGGAGGCAGGGCCAGGCGCGGTGGCTCACGCCTGTCATCCCAGCACTCTGGGAGGCTGAGGCGGGCAGATCGTTCAAGGTCAGGAGTTCAAAACCAGCCTGAGCAAGATCGAGACCCCCATCTCTACCATAAATAGAAACAAATTAATTGGCCAACTAAAAATTTATAGAAAAAATTAGCCGGGCATGATGGCGCATGCCTGTAGTCCCAGCTACTCGGGAGGCTGAGGCAGGAGGATCCCTTGAGCCCAGGAGTTTGAGGTTGCTGTGAGCTAGGCTGACGCCACAGCACTCACTCTAGCCCGGGCAATACAGTGAGACTCTGTTTCAAAAATATATATAGAGAGAGAGGGAGGCAGGACCTTCGGGACTTGGGCGCTGGCTGGGCGGGGGAGGGCAGCACAAACCTCCAGGTCTCCAGTCTGGGAGGCCCGAGGGCAGCAGGTGGCAGCCCAGGGGGCCAGGACAGGCACACACTGGTGGCCGGGACGGGTACACACTGGTGGCCGGGGCAGGCAGGGACAGGGGAGAAGGACACAGGGGACAATCCTGGGGTCCAGCGGGGAGAGGAGGGGACCCCACAGGACACGGAGAGGCCGGGAGAAGATGACGGGTCCGGCAATGAGGCCAGTGCTGCTGGCGGCAGGTGTGGGGACAGGCTGGGCGGTGGCCAGGCCCTGCCGTCAAGGAGCCCAGAGCTCAGCGGTGGCAGCTGGGAGACCAGGGAGGGGTGGGTGTTCCCTGTGGTCTCCCCCGTCCTCCGGCCAGTGACCGGCCCCCCCCCCGTCCCGACTCCCAGAGCTGCAGAGAACAAAGCCCAGTGACCCGACTCTAGGGGGTCCTCCTGGGGTCCCCCGGACCCCCTGTGCTGGCTGGAATTGGATCCCCCTAATGTGGGTGAGGGCAAACACAGCCGCTGGGCGTGGCCCTCACGCCCGGATGACCTCGGCCAGGCCGGGCCTGCTCCTCCATCTGCTCCTCACAGCACCCTGGGCCGGAGACTGTCGTCACCTGCCTTGGGTCCCACGGGGGAAAGAGATGGCCAGGGCCTGAAGCCGGGCCCAGGCTGAGGTGCCACGCCCCGACCCCCGCCGGGCCCTCCCGTGCAACCGCGAGCCCCGCCTCAAATGCTTCACCCCAACACCAGCTCGAATGCACGACCGCCAGCAGGCGTGTCCGCTGCCCCCAGGCAGAGCGTCACCTGGGGCTGGTGGGGACAGCCCGGGCTCCCTCCTTCCCGCCCGTGTGCCGTGACGTGACTCGAACATGTGGACTGGGGCTCACCCGCTCTCTGCCCCAGACCCAGCCGGGGCCCCCGACTTGCAGCTCGAGGGGTCTGGTGTGCCCCAGCCCCACCCCTCTGCTCCACAGCTGGGGCGCATGTGGTCCCCGGGGGCCTGTCGCCGGGCAGCTGGAGTGACAGCCACCTACCGGCCACCCTGTGTGTGCGAGAAGTTGGGGGCGCGAGGCGAACCCCACAGGACCCCCAGATCAGCGCCACGTTCAGGTCCAGGTGCCGTCCAGGCTTGGGAAACCCAAGTTCCACTCTTCTCCGCCCGGCAGTGGATGCTGTGTGGCCTTGGGCCACCCCTCGCCCTCTCTGGGCCTCCATGTGCTCATCGTACGTGAGGCACTAACTCCAAGCTCGGGGTATAAACAGCAGCGTCCACTTGCAAGCACCACACGGCTGGCCGGCAGCCGGCCCTTCCTTCTCCGCCGGCTCACTGCCAGGCCTTGGCGCCGGGACACTCACCCCAGTCGCCCCGGGGCCCCAGGCTGCCCCCCCAAGGGCTGGGCAGGGCTGGGCGGTCCAGGGAGGTCCCAGCGAGGGACAGTAGGTGACTCACTCTCTCCTCAAGTCGGCCAAGAGCTGCCCAGTGCCCCCCACCGCGCCCAGCCCCGGCTTCCAGACACGGCCCCCCCTCCCTGGTCTCCCAGGGACCCCCACGCCATCGGGCAGGGCCTGCGGGAGCGCCGGCTGCCAGGAAAGCAGGATGGGGCCACCTCCATGCCCCCGTCCCAGTTGCAGACCCCCGCCCACCCCACAGCCCCACCGCCCTCCTGCAGATTCTCCTGCAGAGCCCCGCCCACCCCACAGCCCCACCGCCCTCCTGCAGATTTCTCCGCAGAGGCCCGCCCACGGCCAGCAGCCCGCGCCACGCCCACAGCCCAACCGCCCTTCCCGCCTCCTGGCAGATTCTCTGCAGAGTGCCCCGCCCACCGCCACCAGCCCCAGCCGCCTCCGCAGATTCTGCTGGCAGAGGCCGCCACCCACAGCCCAGCTGCAGATTCTCTGCAGAGCCCCCAGCCCACCCCACACGCCCACCGCCCCTGGCAGATCTCTCCTGCAGCAGCCACCCACAGCCCACGCCCTCCTGCGACCTCCACCGCCCTCCCCTGGCGCTCCATGGGCAGCTCGACGGCTCCATCTCCAGGACACTGTCCTGACCCCAGGAGAGGGGCTGCCTCTCGCACGTCCACTGTGCTGCATCGGGCGCTCGCACTCCAAACTGCCAAACGTCTGTCCCTGCTCCGCCCACCCCCTCTGTGCGAGGGGCCTTGGGGATCAGGCACCATTTTCTCCGCCACAACCGTGCCGAGGGCCTAAGGGACAGGCACCATGTCTCCGCCCACCACGTCGCCGAGGGCCTTGGGGACAGGCACCACATCTCTCCCTACCTCCCCATGCCAAGGGCCTTAGGACCGGCAGCCATATTCTCCCACAACACCGTGCGAGGGCGCTTGGGGACAGGCAGCCACGTCTCTCCGGGCCTACGCTCCCAAATGCAAGGCCTTAGGGACAGGCACATTTCTCCCCAGCACACCGTGGCGAGGGCGCCTTAGGGACAGGCATGCCATCGTCTCCCTCCCCACACCGTGCCGAGCGGCGCCTTGGGGACACGGCACACGTTCCACCGTGCGAGGGCCTTGGGGGACAGGCCAGGCGCACGTCTTCCCCCCACCGTTGCGCGAGGGCCCTTGGGAGCAGGGCAGCCCA